AATGGCTGCAAGATTGGCCTGCCGATATTCGCCTCCAATTACTTCTTCTCTTGCGGTATCATTGGATGAGAACAGTTGCTTGGGTCTTCTTCTCTCTCCTATTCCTACAGCAAACTGTACAAACTCAGACAAGTAAGGCTGTACTCCACTGAATGAGCTCTGCACCACCCATTCTGTGGCAGTATAGGCCACAACTCTTGGATCATGGCGTCCCCTCTCCTTTGGCTCATTCGATTTCTTTGGTGACAATATGAGGCAGGAATTGATCCAGATGGAGGGATCAAATTCCAAGTCACAAACCTCTGCTTCCCACTTGGAAGTCTCTATCTCTTCGCTCACTTGAGATGCCCCTTCTTCTTGAGATGTCTTCTGTTGCTATGCCGCTTGGAGGTCTTCTCTTGTTCCTCTGCACGATTACACTGTCAATGAGGTCTCTTCTTCTCGTTTGTTCCTCCTTCTGTTCGAACCAGTAGCTCCGAAGCGGTAGCTTCGAATCGGTACAATGGCGCTCTTCGATTGTGATATCGAACGAATAGGTATCTTTTCGTCGAGTTAATCAAACGAATTGCGTCACAATGGCGCTGCTTCGAGTGAACGAACGAAAGGTATCTTTTCGTCGAGTTAACAAACTCCTTCTTCTTCTTCTCTATCTTCTTGATCACGACAATGGCGTTCGACAATTGGCGCCTCGAACCACGGTAGCGTCGTCTTCTTCTTTCTCGACAGCGACGACAATGGCCGTCGGCTTTGAACGAACGAACGGCTTCTTTTCTGGTGCTGTCGAACGGCCGACGATGGGATACTCGCTTCAACCGACCGAACGAACGGTATCTTCTTCGCAATATGGTACGGCCGATCACGTCGTTGCTCCGCTTCTGCTGCTATTCGCGCCTTGTTCTTCGTATCGATCGCTAGGTAGCTTCCACGCCTGATAAGCCGAAAAAGGCTGATGGTGGTGTGAAAAGAGGTTGCTATAGTTGTGTTAACTACTTGTGTAGTTGTTGATGTGTGTGTGGTTGATTTTAGTAATCTGGTAACTGGATAGTCATAAATCGCTACCACAGGTCATTTTCGAAAGATCTGCTTCTGGGATCGCGGTTGTAACCGTGTCAACGAAACGGCGCCGCGGCGGGGCGGCACTGATCATTCATCCTTAGGGTTTGGGTGAAAGCTTCACCCCCTTTTTCAAACCTCCCCCAAACCTTGAGAAGCTCAAGCCACACGTCTCAAGTGCAAGTACATACGTGTCTTGGGAGAACTTTTCTCGTGGCCATCGAACGCTGAAGGCTGAACCCTTCCTTCGAACCTCAATCTGCAATGCAAGGGAAGCCACGCCACAAGTGGAAGAAAGCAACCAAAATCTCTTTGGTTGCATTCAAATTCTGAGGGATAAAAACAAAACCATGGCGGAAGAAACGAAAGATGGTCCCCTCGAGGACATGAGTGCCCTGCAGGACCAGCTTGATGAGCTGAACGCTCAAATTACCAAACAGGGATCCCATGTTCGACAATTGAAGAAGGATGGTGCAGGCGATGCCATCACCGAGGCCGTGGCCAAGCTTCAAGAACTCAAGGTCAAATCTGCTGAACTCAGCGAAAAACTCGAATCCGATGCTCCCAAGTTCAACCGCAAGTCATTTGATGATCTTGTCTTGCGTAAAATGTTTGTCGTTCCAAGTTTTGAAATTCACGGTGGTGTCAAGGGTCTTTATGATTTGGGACCTCCTGCTTGTGCCTTGAAGGTGAGCCAATTGCAAAAGAAAGATAGTGATGAGATGGCATGGCGTGATGAAATCTTTTTATTTGTTTGTCTAACAAGATACTTCATGGATGTCAATCAATACATGCAACACATTATATGAAAGGCTGCCATGATTGATCTGTGGCGCAAGCATTTTGTGCTCGCCGAGAACATGTTAGAAATGGAATGTACCTGTTTGACTCCCCATGCGGTGCTCAAGACTAGTGGACACGTCGATCGATTCACTGATTTAATGGTCAAGGATCCAGAATCCGACGAATGCTTTCGTGCTGACAAATTGTTGGAGGATGCCATTGACAATCTGATTGAGGAAAATCCCACAATGTCCACGGAGGAAAAAGACAAACACCTCAAAGTCCAAATTCAGGCTGACGCATTTTCCCCAGAAGAATTGGACAAGTTGCTTCTGGAATACAATTGCAAGGCTCCTTCGGGACAGAATTATTCCCCATCTTATCCTTTCAATCTCATGTTCAAGACCAGCATTGGACCGGAAGGAACCGCTGTGGGATACTTGAGACCCGAAACCGCTCAGGGGCTCTTTGTCAACTTTAGGCGTCTTTTGGACCTGAATGCCAACAAAATGCCATTTGCTGCCGCCCAAATTGGATTGGGATTTCGAAACGAAATTGCGCCCCGTAGTGGCCTTCTCCGTGTGCGGGAGTTCTGCATGGGTGAGATCGAACATTTCGTCAATCCAAAGGATAAGTCCCATCCCAACTTCTCCTCCATTGCTGACAAGGGACTCGTTCTCTTTGGACGCGATGATCAGCTGGGATCTGGAAAAACAAAGCTAGTATCGGCTGGTGAAGCTGTCAAAACCGGCTTGATCAACAATGAAACCCTCGCCTATTTCATGGCCAGAACCCAACTTTATATGGAGAAAATCGGTATGGATCCCAAGCGTTTGCGCTTCCGACAGCATTTGAAAACCGAAATGGCACACTACGCAGCCGACTGTTGGGATCTTGAAATCCAATCGAGCTACGGATGGGTGGAATGTGTCGGTCACGCCGATCGGGCTTGTTACGATCTCGATGTGCACGGAAAGGCCACCAAAACACCCATGGTTGCCACCACTAGAGTGGATCCTCCGCAAGAAATCGAAATTGCAAAGCTTACGTTGGACCGGAAGGCTCTCGGAAAGACGTTCAAGAAAGAACAGAGAGTGGTGTCCAGCGCTCTGGAAGCACTGGCAGAGGATTGGAGCACCTTTGAACCTATTGCCACGGCATTGGAGAAGGAAGGAAAGGCAATGGTAGACGGTTTCGAGGTCACCAAGGACATGGTCACTTGGGCAAAAACTTCGAAACGAGTCCACGAGATCAAGTTCACTCCATCTGTGATCGAGCCGTCATTTGGAATGGGTCGTATTCTCTATTCGTTGTTGGAACACTCGTTTTACCAACGTGAAGCCGACGAACAACGCTGTGTCATGAGGTTCACGCCTCAGGTTGCTCCCAGCAAGTGTGCTGTGCTGCCCATTAGCAGTAGCGCCGAGACTAACGCGGTGGTAAGTTTTGCTCGAAGGATCGAAGGAATGGATCGGGTGAGAACTTGCTTTGCAATCTCACTCAACATGGTTTCTTGCTGTTGTTAGGTGGACCAAATCGCGGCAGAGTTGATGGAGAGTGACCTCTCCACTCGAGTGGACAAGTCTTCCGCTGCATTGGGCCGTCGCTACGCTCGTTCAGATGAATTGGGAGTTCCATTCGCTGTTACTGTTGATTTCCAAACTCTGGCAGATGAGACGGTCACTTTGCGCGAGCGTGACTCCACCCGCCAAGTAAGGCTTCCCAAAGCTGAGGTTACTCCCAGCATCTTTGCTATTATCCACAACAGGCTCACGTGGGAGAAGTTGACGGCAAGGTACCCGATGGTGACGGTGGAGGATGGTGAGTCCGGTGCGGCGGCAAACGACGTGGATCCCAACGCAAAGACTGTGGTTGAAAACACTGGCCGTGGTCGTTTCTCGAGACCTGCTCCTGCGAAATAGATTGACAATACACTTTACATGCATCTTCCGTTGTGGGTTGTATGCAGGTGCTTAGCCGGGCTATTGATAATACTAGGTCTCTTTTGGAAGGATGTGATTTGCTAGGAGTCTTAATTGATCATTCCCCTGTAGTATCCCGCTGTTAAAGGCTTGGTGGACCGGTATAGCAAACGGACGGCGATCGCCCCCGTACATCGCATTCTCTTCTGTACTAGTACTGCCGAGGATAGCTGCCAGGATATCGTCAAAATGTTTGCTACAGAACGACATAGTAAGAGCAGTCGGTTTGTACATTTTGTATTGCTTTTAGCTAGCGAGTGATTATGGTCAGGTTCTCGCCGAAGCAACAGTTAGGGTAGCGCGTCGGGGTGTGAAGTGCTTGCTGTTTGCACCGAGGTATAGGCATGGATAGATAGGAGGAGTGCAACCAACGAGCGGGTAGCCAAGATAGATAGCGAGCCGGCTACGACTTGTTATACAGGACATCGAGACGTTTGTAGATGGAGTCAAAATCGTGAATGTTGCAGACGTCAAGGATGCCGCACAGTTCTGCCAGGAACCGTTGGACGGTGCGATCATGATAGCGTTCAATGCGAGCAGCTTTGAGAGTCACTGCCAATGCGATGGTGGAGGGCTTCTTTGTCATGAAGAAGTCATCGGCGAGAGCAGCTTCTGCCATGGACTGACAGTTTGCTTTGAATCCAAACGAGGGGAAAGGTGACGATGATGAAGATGATGCCGGGAACATGTCCCAGTAAAGTCGACAAAAGCCAATGGTGGTTGTAGGATTCAAGTAGAAGCCCAATGTCTTCAAGATCTCCTTTTCAGTGTGGACAATGTCTTCACTGGCGTAAAAGCCACGGGACATATCCACCAGAGCGTTGGCTGTCAGTTTGCGTGGGAATGATTCCAATAGCTTGACTCCAATGAAGAGAGATGTCATGGAGAAAAGCTGAAAGTCTTCGCGCGTTATCTTGATTGGCGATTTCATCTCTTCAGCCACATACCGATCCAGCAAGTTAAATGAGACAGCGACTACCTCTCTATCGATGCCAAAGCTGTCCATGACCAGGTACGACCAGTCCAGCATTTGCTGTCTCCAAAAGCCAACCAGCATGGAAGGTTTTAGTGCGGCTGTCTTTGAGGATTGTACCTGGGAATCGGCAAGTTCCTTTACACAACTGGACGATGGGTAGGCATGGAAGCCATCATCGTGGGGAGGAATTGACGAAAAGGCCAAGTCCGACACAACACGTGCACACTGCTCAGCAACTGGACAAGCCGGAACAACCACCATGTTGTTGTCGGACTGGTTGTCGTCTTTAGATGGATGAATGTAGTTCTCTTGTAGGAGGTAGTGGCTTTCCTCCTGACGAAGCAAACACTGCAACCTTTCTCTTTTCATGTCTTGCTGCTGCTCTTGCTCTTGCTCCCGCGAGACATCAGATGAAGAGGCCTCTGTCATTGAGGCCCTCTTTGTGCTCACTTGCTGCCACCTCCCAAGGATATCGGCTACCATCGCTGAAAACTTTATGACGATAAAGATCAGCAATGCGAGTTGCAGAGCCTACATACAGTCGTACACCTCGCCGTGGTCAAGTATACGTGAGCAGCAGCGAATACAGAGACGAAAGGAGTTCACGAGACCTTGATCATCGGAGGTTGAGGGTAGCATATGCATGGATTGACGTTGCACACGCAAACGGAGAGGAAAAATTGGTGAAATGTGACCAATCAGAGTGACCAGGAGAGCTTGTCCTTCAATGACGAGGTAGGTCCTGGATCACGAGTAATTCGGGACAGTGTACGGTACAAAAAGCAGACGGCTGTTTCGTTGCCACCGCAGCCAGGTTGACGACCGGTACTGTTCCGCTTGGAAACTACTTGTACTTACGGGATGTAAAGCGGCAATAAGCAAAGTATCAGCTAAAGTACGGTACTAGCTAGTAGAGCCAAAGCTGAGAGTGCAGCACAATGTACCGGTAGACTAGTGTCCTGGCTCTAGCATTTCTGAATCTCTTTACAACAACCTATACCAATACTTTTTACTCGAGTAGCACATCTAAATACTGTACTGTATACTGTCTCGGATCTTATTTGTTCCCGAACTGAACTTGGTACCTGGTGGCAGCTCGTAGCCACTGGCTAGCTAGCACAGACTACCGTCCACTACATTTTCCAACAGCGTCCTCTGGAGGGGCTCCGGTGACGTCAGGTTCGGCGATTATAGCTGGAATACGAGTCCCGTAAACGGATAGACAATCTTTAACCCGCGCTCTAACCCGCAAAAACCCGTGCTTGTGTTGGTCCAACCCGCAATAACCCGCACCCTCTCGCGTTTACCCGTGATTCGTTACTCACAAACTAGTCACAAACCCACCTTCACCCGCACAGACCCGCACAAACCCACGAAGACCCATTGCAGACTCGCATTAACCCGCATGCGGGTTGAAACAACGGGTTTTCGCGGGTAGATGATGGCATTGCTTTCAGTTTTTTGGGGGTACCGAGTGTGACGTAAGCGGAGGCCCTCCTGGTCTGGAAACCTCAGGTCGTTGTCGCTAAGGGCATCAAGCTGGGTGCGGGTCAAATACTGAGCATCGACAATTTCAGTGCCATCGGGCGACGGAGTCTGACCGAAGGGATTTTCCGTACAGCAATAACCTATAAAGTGGTTGCCAACATCTCCACACACGGCAGCGCCCACACCCACGAGAACCCCAGACTCTTCCTTGGTCTCTCGTTCCGCTCCTGATTCGGTGCTCTCACCACAATTGATTGATCCAGCAGGAAATGTCCATTTTGAGTCAGTATTTTTGACCATTAAGATTTTCGACGAAGATCGAACCAAACATCCTGCTGAAATGGCATTGCAGACTTGACCTTCGCTCCCTACGGTACAGGCATGACAGCCCCGGTGATGGCTTGCCAAAATGAGTAGTGTAGCTGCAATGATACGGATCATTGTCATCATTCTTTATTGTTGGATTTTGTTATGCTTGTTGGTGGCAATCTGTTGGATACTACCACTCCAGTAGTCCTGGAAACCATCATTTTCCTCAAAATAGGAGCGTGATGTCTACTGCTACTAGCTATTAGTTACCGTACCGGTATGGCTTCATCGCCAAAACGAATGCCAGGCGTTTCACCTATGCATACCGGTAAGCCATGATAGCTACCTGGCGTTTCACCTATGCATACCGGTAAGCCATGATAGCTACCAGGTAGCCCCTCATCTAAAACAAGGAAGTTGCCAATGTTCTGCAGGCTTTCGTCGTACAGTATGGTTATGATAACCATTTGGATTTCCCTTGCCTCTGAGTGAACTACTCAAGCATCAAGCAATCCAAAGCGAAACGTCAAAGTTGGGGAACATCTCTCTCATCCCAAAGAAGAGAGTGCAAGAGTAAAGATGACGCTGTATCCGGAACCAAAAGATCTTTGGCCGGAAGAGTTTTGGAGCTGTGAATTGTCGTGTTGCAAGCTGAAAACCGCAAAATCCATTGTACGAGCTAGCTACCGAAGTAGTCCTGGTAACGGTAGCTATGCATAGTCACAGGGACTTTCACTCTCCGGTAGCGGTACTACCAGCAGTCTCCAACAACGTCACTATGTGATTTGTTTACAGCCGACTCGTCACTCGTCAACCATACACGTATTTTATTAATAGTTCCGCTACTAGTAACGGTACTATACGGTAGTGCAAAGGCACCTAACCGCTCTCAATGGCTCGCTTCGAAACGATCGGATGCCATGGTCGAGACGATAAAGACGAGACTCGACTCGACTCGTCACTCCGCAGTTTTCATGTTCTGCTTCTGGTTTTGTTAGGTTAGCCTGTAAGGCTGTTTGCACATCCAAGATGCGAGATCCAGGTTGCACATACATGTATCTTTTCCACGATGGCCGCAACCATCGATGCAATGCCGTCACGCCACGTCTACCATTTTGTCATCCAAACCAACCAGGAAGTCCCCCGATTGGCGATCGTGGAAGTCGCGAAAAGTCGCGAAAGTCGTTAAAGTAGGGATAACCGTCGTTTCAAGTCGCGGAAAGTCGCGCAAGTCGCAATTTAAGTCGTTCCAAGTCGCGCTAGTCGCGCTAGTCGCGATTATAGTCGTTCCAAGTCGCGATTTTGTCCTAGTAAAAAGCTACTAAAGTCGCACCAAGTCGCGAAAATAACGAAAGTCGCGATTAAAGTCGCTCCAAGTCGCGCAAGTCGCGCAAGTCGCGATTAAAGTTGTTCCAAGTCGCGATTTTGTACTAGTCGCGCGACTTTCGCGACTTCCTCGGAAAGTCGTTATCTGACGCAAATCGGGGGACTTCCAGGGGAAGTCACACTCGGAGCCGAGTGAGTAAGCTTGAAGGAGATCCAAGAATTTCATAGCTTACCCCCGTGTGGGTCTGAAGTATAACGTCTAGTTCTGTTTGCGTTGAAGCTAACGGTGTGAAAGTACGTAAAACATTAAGGTGGTGGAGAATGTGGTGAACAGATTTTTTTAGGGTTAAGATTCTTTTGCTGCTGCGCTGCCTAGCATATATGTGACTCCGTCATTTCTTAGTTTTTTGTTTGAGTCTTTGAATTTGGTTTGAGTGTTTGCACAAGATATGGATACAGTAGTGTTGTCTGGGTGGTAACAATTCCAGTCAGGACCTTGGGAATGTTACCATTTTTGAATCCTATGCCCAGTGGGCATGAGTTTCAGGGACGGGTGAATGTGATTGTGTAAGCATTTTTGTGGAGCATGGGTTGTAGAGGCAAGTCAAAGCACACCATCAAACGAAAACAAAACAAAACAAAACGAAAACGAAAACCAAACCAAAACCAAAACCAAACAAAAGATGGAAAAGAAAGTAATAAACTGCCAAACCAGACTACCAAGCCAAATACATTATCTTTCGAATCTGGACCGTCCGACGGTTTTCACTCAGGATTTAAAAAGCTTCCACGACTGACAAAAACTTGACCAGCACAATTAAAGAATTGTTTCTTTTAAGGGATTGTTTAAGGGATAGTCAAAGATTTAAGGGATTGTTGTTAAGGGATTGTTTATTTAAGGGATTGTTTATAGGGTTGAGGGATAGTTGAAGAAATAGGGGATAGTTGTATGGTATGTCCATTTGGCGTTAAGGATTGTTTAGGGGATAGTCCAAGATTTAAGGGATTGTTTTAAGGGATTGTTTCTTTAAGGGATTGTTTAAGGGATAGTTGATGAGTTAAGGGATTGTTTAAGGGATTGTTTTAAGGGTCATTCAGTCGTGGCAATTTCAAGATTTTTTAAATCCTGTGTGAAAACCGTCGGACGGTCCTGGTCCATTGGATGCTATTCAATAACCTTAACCCTATTACTTCAATGTACCTTAAATCCACATTTCTATGCAGTCATAGTTCATCTTAAGTACGTCTTGCCACCATCTACTTGAAGGAACTTGCAATAAGTCTATAAAAAGCCTTAGTTTGACCAGTAACTGTTTTCCAATGGCATGCTCTTATATTATATCATATGTATATCTATATAAATCTAAGTAAGAACATGCTTGCCTAAGTAAATATCCAAGTTTGCCTATGTCACATTTTGGATAAAATTATCTATATCTGAGGACTTTTATGCATTAAATAGGAACTTGCCTTTTTGGCTGCTTTCTGCATTAAATTTCTCCAGCTACTAAGATATGGATATGCTGATTCAGCTGAAATGCCAAATGCTACAAAATTAGCTAAATACTCAAAATGATAGTTCTAGGCGCCACATCACCAGACAGACCCACACGGGGTTGATGAAAGCTACGAGTCAAATGATAGTTCTAGGCGCCATCACCAGACAGACCCACACGGGGTTGATGAAAGCTACGAGTACTAGCTAGTAGCTTGAAACCTGCTGGAAGATCTCGAGAAAGCGTACTTATTACCTGCCAGCTATGTTTACGGTGTGCTATACTGGGGAAAAGGCAGCTGGAGGGATAGGACAAAATGAAGATCGAGGAGTCTGGTCATGCCAAAGTCAAGGTTACTGCTAAAGCTCGTCACCCGAAGGTAGACTTTTAGCATACTCAACATTGCTACAAATATATTGATTGTTTGCGGTTTTGACAGCCAGCTACAACCCCACTATGGAATCAAACAAAGTCGAAGGCAATTCCACCGTCATCATGTATGTGACCTTGCGAAGTTTAGTAGCTACAGCTTCCGCCTTCTCATAACTCAAAGCTTTTAAATGTTTTTTTCTGATTGCACGATCTAACTAGACCTACCGGTACCAGTACTGTATCATCCTGTATTTCTTGCTGTGCCGGAGCCTAAAATTCCAAAAAAGGCAGAATGACCTGCTCGCGGCGCGGGGTCTTTTCCTTGCTTCGTCGGCTCCTCGCCTGTTTCGTGTCAAACGGTGTCACCGTTGGTTCTTCTTTGAGAACAATAAAACGACCATCATTTTCTTTCTTCTTTCGTGCGCACAATCGAAAACAATGAAGATCATTGTCAGATCTTCTACCGGTACCCAGTTTGTACAAGCAATGATGAAGCATGGAGTTCTTGTCCTCCTCCTCTTGCCAATGGCGCTGGAAGTGCATTGTTTCAGTGCAAAGTTAACTCGGCCTTGGGAGCCATCTCCCACGGAACCGCAAATGACAACAGAATCCTACCGTAACTACAAGTTCAAGGTCCGGGGCATTGCAAGAATCCTTGGCCGAATTTCAGCCCCCACATCTTCGTCGCAGACATCCACTGCACAAGCCGCTTCTTCTTCCAACTCCGATAGCAGCGATTCCAACGGCGAATCCTCCAGAAATGACGAAGGCACAAACTCCGAAGATCCATCCTTAGCTTCCTCTTCCCTTTCCATTGCTTCCTCCTTGAAGGATGACGGGTCAACTGTGAACTTTGATACCAGTATGAAGGTTAATGGGGCACACTACGAGAAGGCACCCGGTGTCAAAGAAAATCTTGGGCCCCTCCTCCAACTGACCCGCCCAGCCAATTTTCCTGGCGTCGTCCTCTTGCATTTTCTGGGTGGATATTTAGCGCTGCAAAACTCTGGACAATCCAATTTATTCATTCGAACCATGCTCCAGAGTCCTTTCATGTATGTGGTTTTGGGAGCACTTCTTCTCACATCTTCCACAAGCATGTTGGTCAATGATTATTATGACTTTAAATTGAAAAGAGATTCTCAAAAGTTATCAAGTCCGTTGGTTTCAGGCCAGCTCACCTTGAGCATTGTCAGGACTTTTCTCACTGATCTATATGCTATGGCATTGCTCTGTGTGGCATTTGTCCCTGGTATTCCAGCCAGAATTTCTGTGGTGACAGCGCTCATGTTGACATTCTGGGTAAGTCGAACTCAGATCATATTTGTGTTTGCTTCCTCCGGCAATTTCATGAACTGACAAGGCATTTGACACCTGCAGTATACTCGACATATCAAACCCATGACATGGTACAAAAACGTCATGTGCGGTGTGCTTATTGCCTTGAGTCCTTTTACCTCGGGATCAGCCGCGTTGAAGGTGGCAAGCGAAGTTGGCTCAGGGCCATGGGGAGGTATCCGAGTGTTGGCGGTGCCAAGCCTGTGGCGGTTGGTGGCAATGCTTTTCTTTGGTGTGACTGGAAGAGAAGTAATGATGGATATTGTGGATTTGCAAGACGACAAGATGAACCGCGTGCGAACGATTCCTGTCACATATGGTAGGCACTTTGCCAGTGCCGTGGGAATGGTGGCATATTTGCTAAGCGGGCTCGTCGTCGTTGGAGGACCCGTAGCACAGCTTGTGACGCAGATTGCAGGGAAAACAATGTCGCTTTCGACAATCAAGGCTTTGTTTCTAGCCAACACGGATGGGTTGACTCGTCGACTTATCTTCGGAAGTTTGGGCGCCATCATGTTGGCTCGACGAGGGATTCAAGTATTCCGAACGAAGGGAGAGGATGCTCAAGTCCTCGACCGAACAATCGAAGAAGCTCAGCTGGCGATGGTGATTTGCCTGGTCAGCTTTGTTTAGGTACGTAGGATGTTACAGGTCTCTATTCATGGACTTGCGGCTGCCTCCGTGGAAAGAGCTCGACATTGTCATGATGCCACACACTGAGCTAGCGGCCAGACAAAAGAAGCAACACTCTCTCCAAACAAAAGGGATATTCTAAGATTGAGCACCTGCCCACCGCTTGTCATACTGCTATCAAGATCCGGCAGCCCTTTGAAAGGCGCACGCTGCAGGTGCCATTAACATCTGCGTGAACATGCTGCTCGGACCCTACTGCATAAATAGTCTATAGTCTATCAACGGTTAGAACCATGAATTTCTTGAGTTTGTACAAATAGCTAGCTTCCAGTTATTTACCAAGAGCTTTTGCTTCTTTAAGGGTCGGATTGACAGGATGCCCTGCTGTTCCTGTCAAAGAGAGAGCTCTGGTAATAGCAATGGAAGCCAATGGATCAGTTGCAATGAATGAATACTTGCTACAGAATACACATGCAATCCAACGGGTACCCTCTCTTTTGAAGGTATTCCACGGCCTTTCTCATGATTGCAACAGGTCCCGAGAGCACAGCCATTGTTCCAGGAATGAAGTCTGGCACCGCCTCGTAGATTTCAGGATTGTCGTTCATGGCGCTTTCCCCCTTGCTCAAGTCGTCCACAATGCATGAAACAGCCAGTTTCGTGTTGTATCTGTGATACTCCTTTTCCAGTTGTTCGGCTGTAACATCAAAATCTCTGGTGGATTCATTGATCCAAACCACGGTGACACTCTCCACACTACTCGACGACGTTGATGGTAGAACCATTCTCACTTGATCCATCACTGGAACAACCCCTGTTCCACAAGCTATGTACACCATATCTGTGACAGGCAAGTATTGACCCCGGTACTCGAGTCTGTTTTTCCCAGGTTTCAGTGCAACCTCATCCCCTACTTTCAAGTCCTGCTTGAGTACTCGAACCTAAGAAGACCACAGCCTTTGAGCTAAGCCAACACACAAGTCAAATACAATCCAGACGATACAAGCCACTTACAAAGTTGGCTGCATCATCCCCAATAGCAAACTCATTCTCGGGCGGTGTTCGATTCGGAGCCAGAATGGAGAACGTCCCAAAACGAGGTTTGGATTCTACGTTGTAGGGAAAGAACTCACCCTTTGCAACGTTGTTGTCATTGTCCAAGCAACAGAGCGATAATTGTTGCCCCAGGTCCAATGGCAAGAAGTAGTCCGACTCTGGCAAATCAAACTCATACTGGACAAAGGATGATCTACCCAGTCTTCGTTTCGACCTCAGCGTGCACACACCCCATCCTTCATCGTCGTTGTTGTCGAATGGCATGGGAACTCCAACTTCTTCAGGTGGTTTTTGAAACTTCTCTCGGATTTTGGCAATCCTGTCTCTTATAAGGATTCCAAGCGCTGATAACGTAGAGGCAACAGATGCGATGATTGCTGACAATGGGTTTGTCTTGCTGATTGTTGATGTGGAACTGGTGTCTTCAGTGGAGACGTCAGGCTCAGCTGTTTCGGCAGTTTGTGCCCTCCTGGACTTCGACAAATATGTTATTGCCAAGACTATACAAACAACAATAGCTGTTGCCTTCACAACTGATCGAAAGCTTTTAGAAGCCAAAAGTCCCAGCATGCCCTTCTTGATTGCCGGCCAATCAATGTTGACACCCGGACCTCGCGGCTTGGATGTCAATGGGCTCATCCTTTCAAACTCGACAAGCGGTTGATCTATTGTCACTGCCAAATATTCCTGGGCCTGTCAATGGACAAGATAGTATGAGATATCGACCGTATTGAAGATAGCACGAGCAAAGGAACAAGCCACAACATACCGCTGAAGATATTGGATCCGCGCTCATTCTCAACCGATAGTTTTGGCCCAATTGTGACCTAACGGGAGATCTCAGCTTGACGGGTACCGAAAAAGCAATCACTGCAACATCGCCCCCCATCCAACATGATAAGGCCAGCAGGAGAACATGCATTGATGAACCAACAACCATAGGTTGAAGTGCAGCCATTGCCATCCTGCCGGTGGGAGCGGGAGATCCAAGAGGCTGTTACCAACACTGACTCTGAATCTGGGTAGCTCGCGTTGCAAAGGGGGCCAACTTGAGGGACGATGTCAATGACAGCAAGCAAACAGGTGTTGCTTGGGAATTGCCGACAGCATGTTACTGCAAGCTAATAACTGAACGATGGCGATGAGCCGCTCGCCAACCACTTGTTGCTTTTTCGATCATCGTACTAGCTAGTAGTACGTGTCCAAAGTTGCAGTTCTTTCAGGGATCTTTGAAGCCTTAACTCTAATCTTTCGTACCGGTACCGGTCTCTCGATCTCGATCTCCGCCTCGGCCGATGCTGCCTTCGTCCGGGATCTCTCATGATGTACTGGTACCGGAGAGTAGGTACAGTACACCAGTGCAGGTACCCCCACAGAAAACTTCAAATAGGACAGAGAAGCCAGAAAGTTGGCATAACTCACACCTGAACTACTGTATAGTTTTACCAAGCTGCAAATAGCTTCGGCTGGAGATCACGATAGATACACATCGACCTCGCTAGCTAGTTAACAAACTAATCCCACCCCTGTGCCGTTGTGCCCCCACACGCAAACGGAGAACTTTGCCTTTTGGCATTGAATCGAAGAGCAATCCCATTCATTAATTTCTCAACACTGACGGATGAATATCGCTGCTCTCTTCGTAAGAATGCAATAGATCCTTCTCCAGAGCAGACAAACCACAAGAATCAGAACAGAAAAGAGAATCAAAGCGTGGTTTTCGAGTGCAACCCTCTCGGGCACACCGAGCCTTGGATTCAACTTGGGGCTTTTCCCGTGAATCCGCAGCGGGCGTATCTGCTGGAGGCTTCGTTTCCCCTTCCGAAGAGTCGCCACCAGGTTGCAAATTGTCGTTGCCGTTCGGCGGTTGCATTGGTTCCTCGGTTAACTCTTGTTCAGGCTCAGGATCTTCCTCAGGATCGAAGATATTCCTACGTTGCTTTTCGAACCCAACAGGATGCTCTCTCGTGGTATCCCTCATCAGATACAATAGAATGTTGTGCCTGTCCGTGTACAATTCTGGAGTAGGAACAGCGTCGCGTCAGTTTCCAATACTTGGGACATCGAGCAGTCGGCAACCCTTCTTACCTGCATCCTCAACCGAGACCAACAGGCGCTCGAGTTCCTTTGTCCTAACTCGGGCACGTTCACGCGGTCGGAAGCCATAGCCGCTACTCAATTTCTTTGCCATGTCTGCCCACTGCTTTTCCGCCTTGTCGTGACGAGCATTTACACTGCGCGTGTGACCTGATATGTGAGTATTCGACACACGTCCCAAAGGCCACTTGTAGGTTCCACCGTGTTTCGAAAACGAGGCATGTCGCATCACTGATGTTGTCGCAAGCCCCCGACGGATTTGTTCCATCCTTTGTCGTTCTAGCCTCTGTTCAGCATAAGGGAAATCGCTAAGAATGGACTCTTCTTGATGACAGTAATCGCACACCGGCACAAACGGAGTCTTTGTGTTCTCACGAACAGAATAGGGTTTGTGATGCCCGCCACATGCCGCGTGTCGCCAAGTGCCACACTTTGAACAGCAAACCATAACGTCGTTTGGGTAGATGTCGGTTACCTGCCAGCAGTAGACCAAATCCGGAACTGAGAGATTCTTCTTCTTTCTCATTAAGAGGCGATGAAGTTTGCAATGGGGTATCTTTTGCAAGACGCCCGGCCTCAGCTCGTTAGCAAGACGTTTCTTGACTGCTCGAAGATTGGCCCTGAGCAGCGGCGGCTCCTCGTTAGGCGATAATTGCTCCTCATCAAACGCGTCCTCGTCGCTTTCCTCTCCGCACATTTTTCTCTCGCGCCGTATTCCGGCAGTAGATGGCCACCATACGTCAATAGGGTAGGGATAATCAAGAACGTTCGACACGACCCGAGTCTTTGCTTTCGATGTGTCCACTTCTGTGCTCCCATTCTCCTCGGCTCCCTCATTGGCACCCCCCATGGAGCTGTCATCCAAGATCGATTCCTTAATATCGCTCTTCTCGGGAGCAGCCAAGGGGCCGTCGTAGAGCGGTTCTTCAGGCAATTGGGGAAGTGCCGATACAAAGCCGTTGGATAGTTTGACACACTCCCCTTTTACATCGGAAGTCTTGGTTTCCTCCACCTCCACAAGCCGTGATGCTTCATCATCGTCAGAATCAGGCCAAGCAACACGTTTGAAAGTTCGCAAAAGATTGATTGCGCCTTCTTCCTTGTTTTCCGATTCTGCAGCAGCAAGAAGATCGTCCAAAGTACCACGACGAGCAAAAGGTTCCTCGTGAATACTTGTTCGACTTCCGGGATGGTACCCAGGATATGGCATGGAGGGATGATGATGTGGATACATATGGTACCCCGGGTGAGGTGACGCATGGTGAGGTGAAGGGTGGTGCATCAGGTGAGGTGAAGCACGGTGTGCCATGTGAGGCGAAGGATGGTGGGGAGGGACAGGGACGTGTGGAGATGGATGGTATGGAGACGGATGATGCGATGAATGAGTCATGGGAGGGTGATGCGGAACATGAGGAGAAGAGTGATGCACCGGATGTGGTGAAGGATGGTGCAGCGCTGTGGGGGTGGCGTGAGGAGGAGGTGCCGTCGCCGCTGCAGAAGAGTTAGGAGATGCCCTCAAGCTGGACGCCGACGACGGCTCCGTTGCTGGTCTCGGTGCTTCTGCTGGAGTCTGCGCCACGAGAGGACTGCCAGCGACTCTTGGCTTGGGTGCTGGCTTCAGATCAGTACTTGTAGGCCTCGGTGCAATTGATGCAGCGGGTTTGGTGTCCGCGTCGTCTTCGGCGCGTACGTGCATCGGCATCTGAGGAGCAGCTGCTTTTTCTAATGATGCCGACCCGATAGGAGGAGGAGGCGAAGTTGCAGCCTTCCTCTTTGCTTTGGGGCTGGTCTTTGTCTTTATTCGTTTGCTCTTTTCTTTTTCTTTGGGCTCCTTGGCAGGGCGCTTGGCTGGGGTAACATCCAGCACTTCTTGGTTCTCTTCAGAGCTACCGTTCGTCGGGGCTTCTGCCGTATTGGTGGCGTCAGGAGGAGGACTTTTCTTTCGATCCACCTCTGTCTTCTTGACAGCGTTCCCAGCTAAGGAATCTGCTGCCAGATCCCGTAACATAGCCACGTTGCTGCTGGGCACTGCTTGAGCTTGCACCGCTGGGTTCTGAGCGGTAGCTAGAGGCTGCGAGGCGGTTGGTGACTCCTGCTGTTGCGCCTGGGCTTGCTGTTGTAATTGATGCATTCTCAGCTCCTCTTGATACCTCATTTGGGCCTGAGCTTCCAGAAAAGCACGTTCTTCTTGTCTTTGTAACTGCTCACTCAGGAGCAAAGTGTGATAATGTGAGGACAGATCAGGGTATTCGTGTAGGTGGTCGCCGAGAGCCCTTAGCTGACGCTCATGCAGCAATGGCGCCAATTTGCTCTGCTGTTCTAGTTGTTCTTGCAGTATCATTTGACGTAAACGTAGGTCACGCTGAATGTCTTGTTGCCTCTGCTGCTGCTGCAGAAAGATGGCATCTTCGATCCCATTTCCTGCCAATCCAAGAGCAGCCCTCATCTGGGCCGTCAACTTCACAACGAGGATGCATGGAAGAAAACAAGGATTGTCGCCGGTTAGCATAGATACGTTTAAAACGCCTAGGATACCCCACATAGACTATCGCGGTGCCAAGGTAAAACCTTACCTGTTGTTGTTGCTGCTGTTGTTGCTGCTGTTGTTGTTGTTGCTGCTGCTGTTGTTGCCTTTGGCCAGGATTGTGAGGGTCGTATGGAAATCGACCTGCCATCGTGTAGCTTGGCTACTAATTGAATACTGGAGCCAATGTAGAAGTAATCCAACAGATGCGTGGTCTGTTGCGGAAGGAGACAAGGCTATATGGAATGTAAAATATTGTGGTGGCCTCACAAAATCGTGTCGGCTTCAGTCGAGCCGAGTTTGGGTAGCGTGTTGACCTTTCCAGTTTTCTTCCTTTCGGCTTGGTTAACCCAGCTCTCTTGTCTCACTTGTTATAGCGAAGGAAGTCTTAATATTGCGGCCTTCAGATGAAGCTTCGATCCCTGATGAACAAGTCTAGCTAGGTGGTGGTAGCCTTTGCCACCGCGAAACAAGCAAATTTTTATTGCCTTTTGTGCTGCTGTCTGGTCAAAATGTGGAGGGCTGCTGTTGCTTGCGGTTGAGAGGATCAGATCTCCTTCCAGCGAGCTACTGTTTCACTATGACTGATCCCCCGCTGGCGCGCTTGCCACTTCTACATGGGTTGTGGTAGTAAGTGAGAGTACAATTGGCCGTCACCTACGGCCATTTGTCTTCAGTAACAAATGAGACACTAATTCAAGGGAGATGAAGGAAACCTGGAATGCTCTCGTACACAACGTAGATTGTTTGCTCTGAACCTTGGTTGACAGATAATACCCCACCTTTGATTCTTGTAGATCAGCTAGGAAGCCTGAAGAGAAAGTCTTTAACTAAATTTATTTGACTGAAATATCATTGGGTATTCAGAAATATGAAGGATTAGAATGGCTACCCCTCTTACCGTGAGAAGAAAGTGGCCTTAAGTAAACTCCCATGAGTCTTGTTGGTGGGTGCGATGAAACCAGGACTCCGAACCCACGCACCCACGCTGCGGCTCTCGTTTCACCGCCGCCGCGATTTTGATTGTGGTTGCGGTGGGCGCCAGAGCAAATTCGCAGAGAACACTACAACGAGATCGATCTTTGTTGATTGCCCAGTAGACTAACTACCTGTAGAGGTGTGTTTGTCTGTTGCTGCTGTCGTCGTCTTCATGTTGTGCTTGTTCCTTTTCTAACTCTCTTCTTGATGCTGTTATCTCATAAACAGAGACGAACGCCAATCTTTAATCCCCCTTCTCGAGCTGCTACCCATAATAACCATGAAGTATTTCGCTCTTCTTCTCATTGCCTGCATGATGGCCCTTGCCATGGCCGCCGATGACCCCAGGGATCTGGTCAAGGATCGTTTGAACCGAAAGTTGAGCCGCAACCGCTATGCGGATGAAGACGATGCGGTATGTCTATTATGGATGTGGGGTTAAGAATGGGCAGCCTGAGGATTTTCTTCTAACCGTTGAATTCCACGTCTCGCTCATTGTATCATGGTGTCTTCCAGGCCACTTTGAAGCGCATCAAGGAGCATGACGTAAGGCGACAAAACAGGATGAGGGAACTTATCGAGCAGCGAACGGAGCAGCTCAAGGCCCACGAAAGCGGACACCGACGATTGAGCGACGAGGTGCGAACTTTGCAAACAACAACACGCTTACTGGTTAGCTGTTGGTGCTTTTTATTTTTCTCAAACAGGTTCTCCCCGCTTTTTTTACATGTTTAGGAACATACACGCTTCAACCGCCAAATCAAGGCATTCAAGAGAAAGCTTGAGCAAGTCGATGCCATGTCGGAAGAGGTAGGGTATTGGCAGATTACCGAAGGCAATCCCGGAATGTTTTAAAAGGGTATCACAACAGAATTCTCACCTCTTCCTTTTGTGATATTCAGGAATACGAAAACTCCATGCAAGAAATGGCTCGCTCCATCAAGCAGATGAACACGATGGGAATGCCTGATCTCTAAATGTGAGAAGGAAAGAGACATGATTTCTCTCGGTATGCGGTTGGTATAGCTTTGTTTGAACAGTCAGTCGGTTGGTTGAATTGAAACACAATTTTATTTTGTGGTCAGGAAGAGTTAGTTTTACAGTTCATAAATTTTTCTCCATGCAAGAAATGGCTTGCTCCATCTTAAAAACAGCAGATGAACACGATGGGATGCTGGATCGTAAAAGAATCAATGAACGAGACGTGATTTCTTATTCTGGAAGCGGTTGATAGCTTTGAATAGTCGATAGGAATAATGTGTGGCCAGGAAGAGTTTGTTTTTACAGTTACTTCAAAATATGCAGGACCTTAGGACAAGAACAAGAGTTTCACCACAATCGAGGAAGGGGGGATAACAGCGCTACGATCGAGCTTTCACCTGCGGTTTCTTGAACGGAAAGAAGCAACGCACCTTTAGCAGACTACGGTACGGTGCGAGGCTCCCTCCGTTTTGACCGTAACAGAAGTTTTATAGTTGTGGCATTTCAAAGTTCAAAGACGTGAGGACGTGGCGGCACAAGACCTGGATGTCCTGGTTGGGGGCGGGAGTTGGATCTGGCGATGGTCCAGGGAAAGTAAATTCTGGGAGTTGGTGATGGTGTAGATGCAAATATTGGACCTGGAGTTGGGAGCGGAGATGGACCAGGGGTAGGTACATGGTCCGGTTGTGGTTAGGACTGTTGCCCGAAGATGATAGGTCAGTTCGGAAGCTGGTCCTGGAGTTGGTCCATGTGTGGGGCTTGCAAGATGGTGGAGCTGAGGTTGGTCCAGGAGGGGGGCATGGAGTTGGTCTTGGTATTGGGCCTGCTGCGATCCCGGTGTGGGACCAGGATCCGACGGGTGCCATAGGGTGGAAGGGGGGTCCAAGGTTCAAGGATGGGTCCTCTAAAACTTGTCCCGACCAGGTAGAAGAGGTGGTACAATTCAATCATGATGTTCCGGTACGTAGTCACGAGTCCCCAGCTGTATCCGTGACTTGCCCTCAGGATCCAGCAAGATGTCACAACTCACAACCAATCACAGCCATTGGCGTGCAGCGGCCATCGATCATCAGGGCCATCCTTCCAAACAACAAGTGACAAAAATGACAAGGAATCCGATGAAGGAGTTTGCCAAGAAGGTCTCCATGGCCTCTTGTAGCCTTTTTCTGTTGATGCTACCGAGATCGTACGGCCTGGTACCATTGGATCCAAGGTGCTCTTCTTGTGGATCGTCTTCCTTTCATCGCCTGCAAAAACAAAGTTTCCACAGCTTCCTGGGGAGTTCTTTGGATCCAAGCGACGTGGAGGTAGAAGAAGATGATAATGATCAGTGGATCGAAGCGCAAATAGCCGAAGTGATTCAGGATGATGATGATTTGGAAGAAGAACTTAATTGGATCCCAGACAGAGAGAAGGCAAATCGTATGAAAATGCAACAAGATATCTACCATTCAAGACCACAACCTGAGCCTATCTCATCCATGCCTACATCAACCGATTCTTCAGACGACAATGACAACAATCAATCTGATAAGCAAAAGGCTTCTCCATATACCGAGGAAGAAGAAGAGTTGATTCAGTCCATGGGTGGCAAGACTAGTGCAGACACCAGCAAACGAGAGCCAGGCTTCTTAGGTGATTCTACCTTGGAGGAAATTGCGACCGACTATTCAGTCCCTGTATGCTATCTTGCAGATGTTCTTTGCATGTGGGGAGTGCCCGTCCCAATTAGTGTTCAGGATCGATTGGGAGATTTGGCCACGGGAGAACAAGCCTTTGCCATTCTAGAAGCCATCAATTCGCTCGATGTCGCCGCTCTACATGACAGATATTCCAACCAAAGTTTACTGAATTTGTGCAATGACTGGGAAATTGATATTACTGAAGCCTTTGAAATGGCAATGAAGGAAGGCTGGAGTCTACCGTTTGGGGTACAAACGGTACTCAGAGTAGAGCAGGAAGATGAACTGCTTCGAGTGCTCGGGGGTTACTATCCGGCAGAATAAAGCATCAGTTGCTTCCCTTTCCATTAAAAACGCATACCGGTACCTTCTACCATCCAGTTTTGTCCCCGTATATGTTTGCTGTAGAGTATATACCGTATAGTGATTTGTATCATTTTGTAGCAACTGGTTTAGATATAATCTGTAACCGGTTGATGTAGCTAGAATCCTTTACTGGCTTCTTTGGCGGCGTCTTTTGCCCCTCTTACAAAGTCTTGTACCTTTTGATGGTCCTTCCGTCCAGGAGACGCTTCCAACCCAGAGCTTACATCCACACCCCACGGACGCACGCTAGATACGGCATCTTTGACATTGTCGGGTGTAAGACCGCCAGCAATGATCACCGGGAGTCCTGCGTTTTGTATTTTCTCGGCAATGGACCAATCAAACGTCACACCAGTTCCTCCACCTTCTTTGTTGCCTTTGATGGATGTATCCAGTAATATTGCCATGGGATCACTAGTCAGAGACTCCAGCAGAGCGTCCACGGCATTGGACGTTGCCTTTCCAGTATCAGGATCCGTTTCGATATCCACCACACGAATGGCTGGAGCTCCGCAATTGGCCGGGTTGGCGGCCATCATACCTTCCTTCCCATGCAATTGCACCATATCTAATCCACATTCAGCCACCATTTGCTTGATGAACTCAGCGTCTTGATTCTGAAAGACTCCGACGACAAGGGGCCTTCTCGCTGCCTCTTGCAGTGCATTCGAAGCTTCAACCAAACTAGCCAAGGGTGATCCACCACTGCTTCGTTCTGGAAACTCTGCCTCTTTGGTGCGTTCTCCAAACTTTCGTACGGTTTGTACAATTTCTTTGGCCTGTTCGGCTGTGACACATCGTTTGCTTTTGGGGACAAAGATGACCCCAATCAGATTGGCTCCTTCCTGACAGGCTTTGAGGGCATCTTCAGGTCTAGTCGTACCACACACTTTGATCATTTTAGTTCCACCGGTATAGGCTCCTCCAGCTCCTGCGGCGGCCTGTTGCTTTTCAAAGTCGTCCGGATGAAGGCACAAATTGGCAATCGCCGCGGCTGGATCAGCTGCTCGCATGAGGGATTCTCCAATCAAGCACATGCCCAGTCCCACTTTTCGATACCTCTGCACGTCAAAGGCCGTAGACATGCCCGACAGAGCACACAAACTGTATTCCGCTTGCTCGTCATTATGATCGAATTTCAATCCACGCTTGGACAGTTCCGTGGCGACATGTTGGGATGTGCCGAGATCCAATTGAAAGGTATGCAAATTGCGGTTGTTGACTCCAATCACCTTTGCCCCCGCTTCAATGGCGACATCCAATTCGGCATCTCCGTGAACTTCTACCAAAGGCTCCATTCCGATACTTCGTGCATAGTCGATCAATCGTTTGAGTACATGCTGTGGCAAGACGGCTACAATGAGTAGAATGGTATCGGCTCCAGCAGCAGCCGCTTCGGCAATTTGGTACGTCTCCGTGACGAATTCTTTTCTCAGGATGGCGGGACGTTTTCCATCCTGGTCCGTACTCTGTAACCGTGCCTGTGTCATATCGTCCAAGGTTCCCTTGAACCACCGTTGTTCGGTCAGTACGGAAATGATATTGGCTCCGGCTTGTGCATATGTCTTTGCCTGTTGTCCGGCATTGACATGGGTGGCGATATCTCCCTTGCTGGGCGATGCCCGTTTGAATTCAGCAGCCAATGCCATACGAGGTGATTGACTCCGAATGACGTCGCTCAAATTGAGAATGGGTCCATTGGCTTGAGCAAAATCTCGTGCTTGTTGGAGGAGTTGTTCTTCCGAAGGAGATTCTGAATTGGACTGCATGATTGAGAATAATGAAAATAATGAGATAACATGAAGGACAGGCAAGGTTTTTGAGAATTGGCGTAATCAAACGTATCTTTGAATAAATTGAAAATGTACGTACCATGATATGAACATAATCCTTGATACGAGTTGCGGTAATTTTTTGCAACATGCTCAGGGTGTGGTTTGGGTCGCCGTGGCCAAAAATATGTCTAGCATCGTACTCTGGATCCAGACTATCTGATAGCAAGCCCTGCAGTGCGTCTTTGAGATCATCTTCGGTGTATTCTTTCGAGAGTATTGAAGTCATTGCACTTTGGTATTGGGCGGATGCCGTGGATTCTTCGGGAGATTTGGTGGCCGACAAGTGCCGCGACCTCGTTAGTGTTGCAGCTGTGGACGATGACGAGGCTGCCAGTGGAGCCGATGCAGAAGAAAAGGCACTGACCAAAGACACTCCCGACAGTAGCAGAAGCTGCAGCAACAGTCTTCTCATGCTAACACTTGACAGTGTATAGTATATCTATATAGATAGTGTGTAAGCTGTCCTTGAAGGAAAGCTTTGAAAAGAAAGAGGTGAATTTTGTTGCATGTTTGCTTGGGTGCTTTGAATGCGTCTCATGTCTCATGTGGCGGCATGTCGAAACAACCCGTCTTCCTGCTGTGACGTCATTCTTTGAAGATCCTTTCATTCCACGTGGAAGGTGGTACCTGGTACCGGTATCTTTCGCAACCCTGATACCGACGATGCTCTGTCATCTGACACTTGGGATCTTCCAACCCCATGCTATTGCAACACAATACAAGTACTCTAGGTCTACCTGTTCATTCTTTAGTAAGAGAGATAATATACAAAAGCAAGATGGTCTTTGTTCGATGGATCCTGTTGGGATTCTTCTTGGCCTGTGGCGTTGTCTCTGAAGCTTCAACACCATCCCCATCTTCGGATGGACTCTTGCTAAGAGTGCGAATGATGGATGGGTCCATGCAACGGATACAAGTGCCACCGGGTGCCGAAGGAACCATGTCGCTCAAAGAGGCTTTGTCGGGATTATTGTTGGAATCTAGCGACAAACCGTTGATCAAAATTGGAACTTCCTCATCAGAGCCAGTCCAAGACGATACACAAACCATTGCTGCTTTAAATCTCAAGCGGGGATCGCTCATCAATTTGGTATCCTCGGCTCCACCCAAAACAGCCGTCAAGAAAACCAGCGCTAGCAAACCAAAGACTGCAGCTTCGGATCGGTGGAATCCCTTTCCAGATCTGGCCAAAGACTACGAAGCAGCCTTACGAAAAGCCAAGGTATACAGATCCACCAAAACGGGCATGTCCTACTCAGACATTGCCAAGTTGCAAGCGGCGTTGCACAATGTGGATCCACAGGAAGTCGGACCCATTACACGAATTTACATGTGTGCCAAATCAGCCGAACGTTTTCACAACAATGGCAAGAAAAAGAGTGGAGAAGTCGAATGTCGAATCGGACTCGTATTTGGGACCATTCAACGAGAACGAGTCGACTTGAAACCGAAGGCTCGAACATCCCTCTCCAGTCAAACCGAAAGCAGCCAGTACTGTTCCGCGGCGCGAGTACATGCACTCTGGGAACCATCCGCACAAAAACCAACCGCAAAGCTCTACGATACCACATCCATTCCGTCGTCCTTCTCAGATGCAACTAATACAATGAGTGATTTGCCACGAGTTCTGAGGGTGGCCAAATGGTTGGGATTGAAACCCATTGGTTGGATCTTTGCCTACAACGACAATCGACACAAGGACCAGGATGCTCTGCCAGTCTATGCACAAGATGCCAAGACGGGGGCACTCCTGCAAATTGCTAATATGAAACATTTGGGAAGAGAAGAGGGATGCAAGTTCGTCACACTCTCCATGCAGGCCAGTACGGGGGCAACAGAAGCATTCCAGCTCAGTGATGTGTGTGTCCAGATGGTGGCGGAAGACCTTTGGGATCTTTCAGCTGACGACACGAAGAAACAGGCAAGTCGGTTTGTAAAGACAAAACATGATGTCATTGTTGATGCACGAGAAACCAAAGAGCTTGATTCTGTCCTGTGTTTGGTCAATACTGCCATGCTGAGCCAGAATGGACTTTTTTCTGGACCAGCCGTCAATACCGTCAAGAAAAGCGGCGGGGTCACAAACAAGGTTAAAAAGACCATCTTGGCATCGCTCGATGAAAGTGACAGCAACAAGCTACTAGAAACACTCTGCGATCTCAATCTATTGGTCACTCTCGACAAGAATCTGGCTCCAGCGGAAATGGAACAGTTGTGTACATTGGTGCGGAAATGGGCCCGTGGACAGAAACGAGGAACGCAAATCGAGGATAGGCTCAAGAATCTTCTGCGGAGTCTGTTGAATCAGTAATAGTACCGTACTCTTTGCTATTAGTTGGTGTTATGCAAGAGACCTTGGCTTCCTCCCTTCTGTATGTGCTCAAACACCCAATGCTGTAGAATGCCTGTTCACAAGATGGTAGGAAAGCCACATCATTGTGGGAAGAAAGCTCAACAAACATTCAGGATAGACTATTGTTGCTGGCAGTTTCGGGTTTGTCATTGTCTTGCCATTGATTTGGGAATGCACAAGGGGCATCTGTGACCGACGCATTGCTCCCTCTTCGCGCCCCGCATGGGAACCTCGAAAATAGTCGACTTGCACTGATCCTGCTGTGGGCAAACAGAGTCGACCCAAGCAATGAGTTTCACTTGGTTTCGTTCCCCCGAAGGAAGTTGCAGCTCTCCAACAGTCACCCCATGCGCCTCTATTTCACCGTGAATCAGCAGCAACCATCCTTCGCACCTCATTGGTTACTCGGTCGCGAACATCATCAAAGAAAGGATGTGCCATGGCCTCTTGTGCGGTAAGGCGAGTGTTGTGATCGTAAACCAGGAGTTTGTCCAGAAGATCAAGGCTCTCTTCGCTGGGCATGGGGGTGCCGGCAGCTCGAAACGATAACCAAGGGACTCTTCTTCTCCCTACTTTATTCCCTTCGCGTGCTGCACACTCTGTTATAGTTTTGCGGACATCAGGTGACAAATCAACGTTGATTGTGGAAATGTAGGCTATCAAGTCAGGTGTCCCAAGGACAGATACAATCTTTGCAAGTTGATCAACGTTGTCCTTTCCCCGGAAGAACGGCTCTCGTCGAAAGAGTAGACCTGCAAGCATGCACCCAACGGGCCACAAATCTACACCATAGTCATAGTATTGGAAGCCTATCAGTAGTTCAGGGCTCTTGTAATGACGAGACGCCACTCGGACATTGTATTTCGTGTTGGGCAAGTAAAAATCCGCCAGACCTAAGTCCAACAGCATCAAAGGTCCTGGTCCATCCTTGGAACCCACATGTATGCCATCTCCTCTGGTGATCAACACATTACGTGGCTTGACATCACGATGTATTATGCCTGTCCATTGAAGACCACATCCTTAGCAGGGAGATCTGATCTTCCTCTGGAGAAACCTGAACACACAATAATCTTATACTAACTGGCAGCAAAAAGACACAACTCACCTTTGGAGTGAAGCGAATCAAGGGCTACAAGCAAATGAAAAAGAAAGTATTTGATTTCATAGACACTGAGAAATTCGGCTTCCTTGTCAGGTTTCACTGCATGGTTGTTGTTTGCTCTGTGACAGAAAAACTGAGAGTCTGGACCAGCGTGCTTCAACACCAATGATGGCATGCGATGTAGCATCCCTGGATCCTTCTGCGATTCATAGAACTTTGGGTGGATCACTACGGCCTGATGTTTTGAAGGAAAAGAATACAGATAGGTTGAGGCTTGTACTGCTTCAACAAACAAACAAACAAACAAACATACTAATGGACATTGGTCGTACCAGCAGTCGGGCATGGTTAGGCATCTTGGAAGCGTGTGAGAGAATGAGTAATTCACGACGAATTTTGCGATCTGTCACTGCATGCACGGAGCGACAAAATATGTAAGTACAGGAAAAGGAAACTTTAGTTTCTCCCATGCCTTCTCACCTACCTGGTTTCAAACACTTGATGACGACCAATGACTTGGGTTCAATCTCGGGTGCTCTATGGCCGTGATTTGATACCTCTGCTTCCATGGCACTGAACACGTCGCTGAACTTTCCAGTCCCGAGCCTTTCCACAATGAAGTAGTCGTCCGTTGTCTTCGTTGGGACTCCTGGAGGCGGGAAAGGGTATTTGTCATACTCATAGAAGGACGGGTTTTCTCCAGAACATCCTAATGGGTAAGCCCTAGACGCTTCTGATCTACTTTGCGAAACAATCAAGGACAAACTCATTAGCAGGAGACCATTGCGCAAGAGAAAAGGACGCCGGTACACGAATGCTTTGCCAGAAGAGGAAGTCATCGGCAGGACTCCCATTGTGCATGTGTACCGCTAAGGAGGCTCTGATCGAAGATAGATGAGGCGCCGACTGCGATGGAGGCATGTCAAGGGTCGACAGCTCGCGTTTTGGTAGTTTCTGTTTCAGCCAACAGAGCTGTGCGGAGTTTACGACAACGCAGCGTCCTATTGGAGATGAACCAGGGTTGGCCAGGTCCAGGAGTAAGTCGAGGAGTTGTTCCTGGTGTAGGTCCTGGAGTTGGGCCCGGTGATTCAGGGGCAGGTTCAGACTGGCCCGGGGCTGGCTTACGGTAGACCCTGGTGTACCGGTAGGCCCTGGAGTTGGCCTGGAGGGATGAACCAGGGGTGGAGCTCGTCCAGACATGCCTGGAGATAAACCAGCGTTGGTGCATGAGCAGGTCACATGGTCCTGGGGAGGTCCAGGAGTGGGGCAACAAGTACTGGTAGGCCCTGGAATTAGGTGTCCGACCACTAGCGGGGCCTGGAGATGGAGAGGTCTTTAGAATCGGGTCAACATTGCTTGGTTTGAAGCTTGCTAGCTCTAGCACCCGGAGCCGCCCGGTTGCATTATGCTGGCAGAGCTGGTTGGTTACGACGAGTTTTGGTGACTTTGATCTCGCAAGGTGGGCTCACGGGGGAGCAATGGTGATGGAATTACAAACAGGTACCGCAACTCAACTTGCGAGCAATGCGCTGATGATTCGATTCCATGCTCGGGCTTACGGTACCCTACTCTAACTCTTCTTAAAACTATAGCCTATTAGGGTGTGCGGATTGTGTAGGAACAGTGTACCAGGCACACTTCATACCCACATCCATGCCGATTGAATATGAGATACTCTCGCATTCCCATCGTTGAAAGCTGCTTAAATTTGACCTGCTTTGCGTTTCTTGCCAGCGGTCGCTTGCTTCTGCAAATCAGCCAGAGTGGACTCGAACCGGTGTTCCAAGGTCATGTGATTGTCGGGTCCCAGTCCAAGACAGGCACGCATAACATTGATGATTGCCTGGCGTTGGGTGAAAAGAGCATTGACGACAGGTGCACCGTTTGGGACAAGCGGGGCTTTCAGCATGTAGGAAAGAAGAGAAAGGACTGGGTGGAATGTTTCCCAGTTTTTGCTACCCTCTTTCTTCATGGTGATACGTTGAAACAGCTCGCCCAGGATCACCAAATCATAGATCAAGGGAGTGGCCAACAGCGAGTCCTCACAAGTGTTGTGCATGACAATTGTGTTCTTTCCACCCATAAAAATTTCAGACGTGTATTCATCCATAGCTCGTTTGGAGTCAGCCACAGTGGGTACGTACTTGATGACAACCACATGATCAGGGTGCTCATCCTCTTCAAAGAGAAGACGGTTGGACGCAACCATGTCATCCACCACATTGGACTTGGAAATCTCTTTGCTGCGGAACTGACTTGGAGCACTGAGATTACGACCGTCATTGTTACCAAGATGATTGTAGGACACGATACTGACGGGCTTGATACCAGCCGAGACGAGGAAGTCCACCAGAACCGACTTCATTTTGGTCTGGCCACTCTTGAAATCGTCCCCAGCGATAAAGACTTTCTTTTCACGAGCCAGCTCAATGACGCCAGGCACAAAGGTGTTTTGAGGCGACCCATTGATGAAGGTACAGCCCTCCAGGATAGAAGCCACGGCAAAGACTGTCGAGGAACTGACTTCTTCCTCACCACGCTGGATACTTTCCAACAAGTTTTCTGCCGTGTCGTTGACGCCTTCTTCCACACTAGCGAATCGTTCGGTGTTGGCCGTCCAGAGAACAATGACCTTGTCGACCTTATTTGTTGACTTGAAATCCTTGATTTGTTTCTGGAGTTGCTCCAACTGTTCCTGTTTGGTTCCCGTCAAGACATTGTCGGCTCGTTCGCTCTGGTTGGCAGCAATAAAGTCCGGGAAGTAGACCGACGGCAAAGGCTTGATCTCCTTCATGTGAGGATAGAGCTTTTCCTGGAGATCGTACTCCAGCACCTTGGCCCTTTTCATGGCGTCACCAAGATTCATGCTATTGATGTCCCAGCCTCCCCAGACGATTTCATCGGGTTCGATCATTGGAAGCATGTTTTTCAAAGGAGTGTAGACCGCATTTCCACTAGCATCATTTCCAAGCTTGACAGTGGAAGCCAGCATGACACTTCCCCAGTAGTTTGATTTCTGCTCTCCTTCTTTGGTGTTCCAGGTCAACTTCATCTTGTTGGCAAGAGCAGCGGCAACACATGTACTGTGATGTGAAGTACAAAATTGATTCCACAGTAATATCAAGAACAATGTATGGTATGAGTATGAGTATTGTTTTGTTTTCGCCATACTCAAATGATTCTATAATTAACTCACCTTCCATTGTTGCCTCCCAATCCAACCAACATCACTCCAACCTAAGAAAAAAACTCTGATTGAGTTACAATGCCATCATTCATTGGTTGCTCATCAAACAAAACAAATTAAATTCGACAGTACCTTGGGAACCTTGGTCTCGGTTTTAAACTGCATCTTTGTCGAGACAGGCTTGATGGTGTTTCCCTCGACCATTGTGGTCTCATAGCTGATTATAAAACTTGTTAGTTCAACAACAAATGACCATGTCGAAACTGAATTCCATATCTATTACTCACGTGTAGTCACTGATGATAGCATCTTCAGTGTATTTGCAGTTATCTGACTCAACCTTGAAGGGTCCCTCGAGGTTAAGGTAGCTGCTCATGGTGGCAAGATAATAATGGGTATCTCTTGGACGGATGGGATGGAGAACTATCGAAATAGCTTTGCGCTATCTTCTAACTGCAATCTGAGCTGTGGAATGATAGATAGCAGTCCCAAAGAGTGGAAGATGGCTTTCATTCAGTGCGAACGGCGAGGCTTTGTTGTTGTGAGAGGGACAACCGTCCAATGCCGACCGCATGCATCCACATCATTGGATATCCTTCGCACGAATCCGATGTTTTCGATTTGCTTCGATTGTTTTCGCCAGTCCGTTGTAAGGTGGCGAAGCTGTCAAAGACTCAGCCTCGTGCTTTGAATGCGCGGGTCCGGAGAGGGCTCTACAGAACTAGGTACTACGGGTATCGTACGGGGAGAGTACCGATGGGCCCTGCAGTCGTATCTACATACATGTAGTAGCTGATGTCGCCACCAGTTTCTTAAAGGGGCCAGGGACAACTGCTGGAGACGTCAGCCAACATGTATCGGAGACTGGAGCCGTAATCTTCTTGTCAGCATGCATAGTAGGGACAGATTGCTGATGGTGTAACCAGTTGCTGCAAAGTCAGCGTTGTCAATCTACGTACCGTTTGGAGGAGGTGGTGCTGGGAAGAGAGCATGCTGGTTGCTTCTACGGAGGAAGTGTGAGGGAGCATAGAGCAGGAGAGGATCAGGCATAAGGATGGCTGGTCAAACAGCGTTAGCCTCTAACTAAGATTGGATTACACGTAGATTCTTGTTCCTGCTGCTGTTTCAATGGATCCGCACCAGTCTCCATCCGAGCTCATCCCCGGATGCTGCACTCCTCCTGCCTGCAATGTCGACCCCTATCAACCCACCGATTAGAGTAAAGCGAGGATGATATGGCTTCGACTTCACGGCAACAAACTATGATTTTAGTTGCCAGAGCATGCGACTTCAGCTCGACACCCCCGATACAGACACTCCTGTCCTGCTATTTACACACGGGAGTGGCTGTTCGTTTGTTCAGGCCACTACCTTTCGGTACCGGTCCACTGCAGACACTCACAATCAAGCGTACGAGAATGATGGTAGTTGGCTACAGGGTAGCTCTGGCACCATACCCAGCAAGCCATACTATCATACTCTATTCCAGTCGAGTCAATAGGGTCTCGAATCTCGAATGTTGCTTGTGAGCGAGACCTTGATTTCGTGTGGGTGTCAACTTCCTGATGCAGTGTCAGCTGATCCAATTGAGTCACGGCAATGGGGGAAAATCTCGCATGGCCCTCAACAGTTGACTTCTCAAGCAGCAAATTCGTCAAGGGTAAGGACAAGGAATATGTTGATGTCAGCTAATGCTTCTTTGGAGGGTTGTAGCCTCGGTACAACAATATTGGCTGACACCAAAAGATATAAGATAATCGAAATCAGACGCGCCTCAGAGCTCAGATAGATGGAGAAAACCACATCCATCATTCCTCATCCATCATTCCACATTCATCATTGATACCGGGACCAACGGTGCCATACGACATCTGCTTGTGAGAGGAAGCCTTCAGCATGCACGGTACTAGTACATGTCTGCATGTGCTATCTCTGAGTCACTTCAAAATCGCGACCTTGTGAGTCAGGACTTTAGGAAACAGAGTAAAATTGAATTTTTCACCAAGAAGAACCAAAACACTAGTATTTTCCAATTTTGATTATTGTGTGCGCACAACTGAAAATGTTACATCTTTTGTCGAACAGAAATTGTCAAAAAGAGATCAAAAAGGCAGCACAAGTTCCGATTGAAGATTCTGCTTTCTGTTCGGGCGTCAGTGTTTGAAGTTTGAAGCAGGTGTCAACGCCACCTTTCGAGGCTGGACGACCGCCATCAAACAAAATCCAAAAGAATTCTTGATGGGTAGGCATCACAACAGAATTTTTAATGGCTCCCCGTCATTGTTGATTAGATTCTCACCACTTTTAAGTTTTCTCATAACTTGGACTATTGGAAGTCTAAAAAGCTCTCTCTTGCCTCTCTCATAAGCTCGCAATCGTATCGTTGCCACTCCTATCTTTTGAATCTATTGACACCAGTAAAGGTAAGGCGAGGCGACACGGAAGACGCCGATGAGGATCGCCCAGTTCTTAAGGTCAATCCGTTGGGTATCTCAGTGAATCTTCCTTTCTTTCTCTCTGCTTGCCTGATACTATGCATACCGTAGTACGTTTTCTACCATGTTGATCAGAGTCCTTTTCGCCTTTGCTTCCACCCTGGCTGTGGCCAATGGTTTGGCTTTTGATGTTGACATCTTTGGGGCGTTCAAGGCCAACCCTCTTCTGACTGACTTCAAAAAAAGCCAATTCGGTGAAAAATTCAAGATCAGCATGGATATCAAAGAGAATGCAAACGATGAAAGGAGCCCACGCATGTCGCTGGAGGGGCTGTGCGTTGAGTTGCTCCAGGAAAAAGCTGCCAAGAAGGATGTTGTTGGATTGCCCGGTGCCAATGGACCCCATCCCAATTCATCAAGTGGTGGCAAAGGACTCGATGTTCTCAGCCACCCTTCCTTCATTGACATCTTTGGCACCCAGAAAGTGCGCATGGAGAAGGCTGCCTGGGAAGTCATCTTCAGAAAAGACGCAGCAAACGGCGCCCTCATCCTTGGCTTCCATCTTCCTGCAGGAGCAAAGCGCAATGATGCGCACATTGACCCTGGACGCATCTATCTGTCATTTGATGTGTACGACCCAGAGAGGTTGGCCGTGAGGCAGATTGAAAGAGTTGAGGCCGAAGCCAAATGCAAGGAGTATGTCCAGGAGAGAGATGATGAACTCGATAAGTATAAGACGACTAACAACATTTTCATGAAGGCACTGCACTACAGGAATGCTGCTGCAGCTGTGGAGAAGATTGACCTAAGTGGAGTTCGTTGGTTGAGTCAGATCCCTTCAGACTCTGATGTGCTTCCTCTTGGAGATGGACTCTTGGTCAAGACCGCGGGGACTATTTGGCAAAAGGAGCAAGGTTTTATTGGTGCAAAACACACTTTGCTCGGAGATGCTGTGATGACCCCCTATGAGGAACAGGCAAAGGAGGACCTCCTGCGACCCTAAGCCATTACTATTCAGGAAGTAACCTGATTAGGAAGGAGGCAAAGCCACGAAGAACATGCATTGAATTATCCATGTGGGACGGACGGCTTGCATTGACAGTTTTGATCTAGAGCACGCAACAATAGAGACCACCCGCTATCAGAACGATCCCAGCACAAGACACAAGCATAAATCACGCACAGCAGGCACATCGCATACAGTAAAGTACTATTAGCCCAATGAAGTTGCATAATTAATTTCAGAGAACATCCTGATGCAGGCCTGGTCTGTTGACTGTGCTACCGTAGGTGCTAGCATGTCCATCCATGAAGGTTGATTATACTTCAGACCCACACGGGGGTAAGCTATGAAATTCTAATATCGCCTTCAAGCTTACTCACTCGGCTCCGAGTGTCCCTTCCCCTGGTCGGTCTGTGCATTTGATTTGATTCTGGCTGGAACAAGTTTTGTGAGAATGTTTTCCTTTCCTGGCCGGGAGTATTTGAGTCACTTACAGGACTCGACTCAATTGAATCATTCGGAAGGCCCCAAGCAAAACGCCACCACTTCAACATGCAAACGACCAAGTCAGATGGCGACGACTACAAGGTGCTGATGCAACTGTTTCCCACAGGCGGAGTGATCAGCTTTTTATTGAGCTGGTTGGCAAGTGCACAGGCAGAAACTACATTTCGAACGGAAGGACTCGACTCCCGAGGCAACAGTACTTACTTTGGTACCAGTAGGAGTTGCAGCCCCACTTCTGATCTGTTCCAGTCTCCAGTGACGCGTCGATCTCAACGCAGGCTGTACAGGCAATCAGCTACAACCACAATCGTGCCAGAATAACTTGACTGCGCAAATCCTGCCCATCACATCCATCACCACCTTGGCCATCACATCCATCACCACCTTCACCGGCTCTCAAAGAAAAAGCATTCAACGGAGATAATAATAACTTTCCGAGACAATCCTTTCAGCTTCCATCAAACTATCGAACATGGTCGTCCACGTATACCCATCAACCTCATGGCGGCAGCAACGGTCTCGTGCCATGGTCCCTTTCATAGCTATAATTGCACTTTTGGCGTCTAGAATGCATAGCTTCCAGTGCTCTCCGTCCTATGTTGACCAACCATCTTCTCGTCTGTCTGCTCGCGGAAGATCCAATACTGTTGCATACTACAGCAATACAGCCGACCCACCCTTGTCCGAGGAGAAGATCCAGAAGAGTTTCGGCAAGAGAATGCGAGACCTTGTGGTGCGACAGGACAGACAAAAGAAACAGAAGAATAGCAAAGCTATTAATCCTGCCAAGCCACCATTTGTTTATGAAGCCGTTTCCCTCCAAACTTACAAGGAGATGGTGGCAGACGAGCAAGATCGGTTGGTTGTTGTTCGATTCTATGCCAAATGGTGTCGTGCTTGCAAGGCCGTGGAACCCCTCTTTTACCGCATGGCTCACTCCATGCCCGATGTCAAGTTTGTAGAGGTGCCCGTGCTGGAGGAGAATGCCAACTTGCATCAAGGGCTCGAAGTACCATCCCTCCCGTATGGACACATCTACAGTCCCACTGCAGGATTGGTGGAAGAAATTCGAATGGTCAAGCCAGAGTTCAAAAGCTTTCAAAAAGTTGTCGAGACATACCGGGCGGGGGAGTGCGCTGACCTGGAGATGGATCCAGAGACTGGCCTGTTTTTGTCGCCATTTGTTTCCAAGGGAGGAGCTTGCAAGAAATAGACACAACAAGAAATACAACGGACTTGGCCTGAACAGGAGGCAGGCTGAAGACATACATCTGACCCTCCCATTTTTGTTGACCTAGAGTGATAGATGCATACGATAATACAGAAGTTATAGAGCGCACGTTTTTGCTTTACCTTTTTGCGTTGGTTGGCTCGGAGGATTTAGCTAGACTAGAGCTTCCGTACGGCAAGAGGGGGAGGCAACGGCTTGTCGTGAAAGATGACAAGGCACTTTTTTAGTAAACACCAGCTACTGTAGAAATATTTTCACGTGCTCAGCACCTCTGCTTTGGCAATCCCCACAACCAATAAGTAGTCTACCCACATCCTCCGTGGTTCCATCTTCGTTGCCACAACAGTTGGCTGCATGTCCTCTTGAGCAACCAGTTTGGCTGTCGCTGGGCTGTCTTTGGAGAGACTCTACTAGAGTCCGTAAACGGAAACCAGGTCCGGGATGGTGTTTCAGCTCTGCCGGATTGATCCTCCCAGTCTTACTTTTCGTCGTCGAACGACAGAGAACGCTTTGCCTTATCGCACGCACATAGTGCGAAGAAACAACCAAGAGATGGCAATGATGTTCTTATCAAGTGGTTCTGTCGCCCTTGCAACATGGCTGCTTGTTGCTCTACTGCTAGTTGGTCATGTATCATTGGCTTCGACTACAGCGAAGATGCTCAAGGACGAAGACCACATCCAGCAGCTGCTAAAATCAATGTCTCTCAACGAGAAGATTGGCCAGATGGCTCAAGTGGATATAAATCAATTGTGTGAAGACAATCCCAATGAACCAGGGACAAAACGATTATCAGAAGAGAAAGTGCGTACAGTCATTGGCGAACATGCCACTGGGTCGGTATTGAACTACATTCAGAGTGGACGACCCCTCACACCCACAGAAATGCGCAAGGCAGCAATCTACATCCAAGCTGTGGCCAAAAACTACTCTCGACCTCCCGTCATTTGGGGACTCGACAGTGTACACGGGGCCAATTACGTTCATGGCGCAGTCACGACTCCACAGCCCATTAATCTTGCCGCTACCTTCAACAAGACGGTAGCATACGCAGCAGGAAAGCTATCCGCCAAGGACACACGGGCAGTGGGAATCAATTGGTTGTTTGCTCCCTTGATGGGAATTGCCATTGAACCAAAATGGGCTCGTGTCTACGAAACCTTTGGCGAAGACCCCTTTTTGGTGTCTGAAATGGGCGCACAGTTCATTGCTGGCATTCAAGAAAAAGACACCCATGCTGGGAATTCCACTCCCAGCATTGCGGCAGCCTGCGCCAAACATTTTGTGGGATACTCTGCTTCCCACACTGGAAATGATCGGGCTCCTTCTTGGATTCCAACGCGGCACTTGTACCAGTACTTTTTACCTCCTTGGAAAAAAGCCATTCGAGAGCAAAACGTGCTGACAATCATGGAGAGCTACACGGAAGTGGACGGGGTCCCCAATGTGGCCAATCCCAATACACTGCGCTATCTATTGCGACAACAGCTGGGGTTCGATGGTGTGCTGGTCACGGATTACGCAGAAATTCGAAATCTCGACCAATTTCATCATATCACTAGCAGTCCAGAGCAATCTGTCGTACATTCCCTGCGAGAGGGGTCTGTGGACATGAGCATGATCCCGGACAGTGAAGCTCGCTTTAGAGAGAGTGTCAACCAGGGGATTGCCAACGGAACACTAGTGGAAGACAGAATAACTCAAAGTGCGGAACGAGTGTTACGCCTCAAAGCAAAACTGAACATGTTTCACGAGGAAATAACAATGGACAACAGCGAGCTAGCAACGATTGGACAGCCACAAGATATCCAAGATGCCCTGGATATGGCAGAACAATCCATTGTTCTAGTCAAGAATGAGCAAAATACTCTCCCTCTGAACGTGGGTGAATCACCATCAATCTTATTGACGGGTCCAACCATCCACTCGCTCGTCTATCAATCTGGAGGATGGACTGGAGAGTGGCAAGGCGTTCCTGTTTGGGACGCTGACAAGTACTTTACGAACGGTTCGACCGTACTGGATGCCATGAAGAGCAAATTTTCTAATGCCAAGGTAGGGAGTGGGCTTGTCCGAGATCATCCTTGTTGGGATACCTGTTTGTGTATGCCAGCTCCTCATTTCTTGCATTTGGCTTCCATTCAACTCAGTATACCTGTGGCGTGGATATCCTTGGCCACGAGTGTGAAGATCCTCTCAATGATGAGCCGGATCCTGGCACAGGAAATGGAGTCTTGGATCAGATGAACGGCGTCTACGGAAAGTTCAAGAATTGGGCGGGGTTGGGTCCAGAAGAACCGCCAAGCTCCATGGAGAAGGCTGCGGCTTTGGCCACCACTGCCGATATTGTTTTCATTGGAATAGGCGAAGAGGCATATGCGGAAAAGCCTGGAGATCTACCAGATCATTCCCTGGATTTACCGGCGGTGAGTTGATCGTGGATCCTACTGTATGAACGCCCTGTAAAACTGGTGCTCTTGGGATTATCTAACTTCATGGTTTCTGTATACCGGTAGGGACAATATGAGCTTGTCTCACTTGTGAAGCAGAGCACGAATGCAAAGGTGGTCGTTGTTTACTTTGGCGGTCGTCCTCGCTTGCTGCGGCAAATTGTGGTGCGTCTATGATGGGTCATTCGTTCAGAACTGTTTTCCGGAACAAGTTGCGACAGTGTTTCTAACGAGGTGTCGTTCTTGCCCTTGACAGGATTTTGCCGACGCAATTATTATCGGTTTTCTTCCTGGCCCAATGGCGGGTCAGGCGATCGCAAACATTGCTTCCGGTGCTGCGAATCCGAGTGGCAAGCTCCCTATCACCTATCCCATGTACGAGGATGGAGGCGGATTGCCGTATTTCCGCACCATTTCGGATATTTGCACGAAGCAAGACGATTCCAACCCACTGCCACACTACGAATTCGCTCCCTGCCCTGTTCAATGGCCATTTGGTTTTGGACTGAGCTACACAGTTTTCCAGTATTCTCTATTGCCACCAAGCACTAAGCGTCTTCAATACACTCCAATTGGAAACTTGAACTCCAGGGAACCACTAAAAGTGTCGGCAAAGGTGAAGAACAAGGGCGCAGTTGCCGGTGCCGAGACTGTTTTCTTCTTCACGTTTGATGAAAGCAGATCGACTACCCCAGGTAAGTGGAGCACTATATAGTTTTGTGGTTCCAAGTGGCGATTTCCTCAGCGGTTCTGCTAAAACCCTGCCTCGTAGAATACAAGCGGTTGAGAGCCTTCGAGAAAGTGTACCTGGAACCTGGCGCTGAAACAACCGTAACCGTATCCATTCGGATCGAAGACCTGAAGTTTGTCGGCCCTCACGACGATACTCACTTGATTCTCGAAGATGGGTTGCGCTTCCGGGTAGGAATCGGGGCAATGACTGATTGTAGGGAAGGTGACAAGGATTCGGTACTCTGCTCGGATGTTGTCACCATTGATGCCGGTGACGACTACATTGGAGCCTGTGAATCAGCTTGCGAGTTGTGGGCGAGCAGTGGTTGTTCGGAACACTTGAGTTTGTCTCACCAAAAGTGCTGGAACCTGTGCACATCAATCTCCAAGAAAAATGCCCAATACCTTGGAGAGGGAGAGGACGGGTGGGGTTGGAACTATGTCCATTGTCTGGAGTCCATCGTTTGGGGATTCCAAGAACTGCAATCTTTCGACAAGAACACACAGTGCGGCAAGATGACGTCTCTTTGCCGCAACATCTTCACCACTGAAGGGAACGACTCCTTTGGCCACGGCCCCAACGTTCCAAAGGCAGGAAGCCTGGCACCGGACCGGTCGGCTGTAGTGATTGCTCTCTGTGCTGGGCTGCTGGCTTCATTTCTAGTAGTGTACGCACTGCGAGGCGGTTTCTCAAAGCACAGGGGCGGAGGTTCCGTTCAATTCACAAGAGTTTCAAACGAGGATGCCCTGACTGCATAGACACACCTTCCCGCTTACCGAAAATAATGCGCAAGGCAATAATAGGTGACCTTTTGTACCTACATAGACTAACAACGACAGTAAGAATTCTTATTTACACCAGATGCATGGGTCAACCCCCAAGATTTGCTTCAGACTTCTCAAATGACTACACTAAGATAGGTGGGGGTAACATATTTGGAGACTATTTCCAACTCTATTGCAACTAAAAACGATAGCCGTGTGGTTGGTTCACATAAAAATCTGAAGTGCCGTCGCTGGGAGCCACTCCGAGCGTCATGGTTGAGTTTTTTTGGTTGCAGGTCAAATTCGATGATTGAAGTATTAGGGGTAGAGTTATGGACCTCGTGTTTAAAAAAAAAGAGACCTTTCATATTCATAACTTTCGCTCAAAGCTCATGTGGAACAAAATGTGATCTCATGCTATGGGCCTTTGTGGCGGATCTGAAGCTGTCACTCGGTGTTTGCATTCGTTGGTTGTTTACGCTCATTCGATTCGTCTATTTTGTAGCCAGAAAAACCTAAACAATTCCCCAGTGATGCTCAATTCCAAACGTCAGTCTTGATAGTGCTGCAGCTCCACTCAACGGATATTCACTGACACTCATCATTTTTTCAATATACGGATGATCCTCGATGGTGACATGACCTGTCGACATTGCCCCCACCACAAAGCAGGTTGGCGCAGGGCTGTCATCGGGAACAGCAGGAACTAGTGCTTTGGCCATGGCCACTGGGGAGTATAGAGTCCCTTCACAGGACATGCCATAACAGCGAGTTCCAGGAGGCAGATACTGCGAAAATGGATTCTTGATAACCTTCAAGAGAGTTGTCGACTCAGAAGAAGCTTTGATCTTAAGCTTGTGCAATAACTGGACCATGAGCCCAGCAAACCGTTTGTAAGTCCTTGGTATCCTTATAGCCGGGTTGACATCAATGAGAACGTTTTTGGAGGTCTGAATGTAGATTTTCAGCATTCCAGCTTTGTTTAGTGGGCTATCCAAAAGTGCCAAGAGCTCTTGATGCAGAATATCAGGTCGAAAGATGTTGGGATCCTTGTGGAGTTTCTTCTTGCAGAGGTCTCTATGATCATCGCAATTCAGCAGCTCATAGACCCCACGTCGATTTTTTATCGTTTCAACTGTGGCTTGATCCAACAGAACAATGATTGGTTTTGTTTTGCCAGTGTTCTTTACAGGGGTCAAAGCGGGTGCCAACTCCAGTTGAGAGGACACCGCTGCTTCTGAACCTCGCGGTTTCTTGGCAGGAGGTTCCTCTTCACCATCAGAATCTGATGAAGACTCCGATGAGGAGGATGGTGGTGGTACTTCTTTCTTCTTCTTTGCCATTGTCAAATAATGCTACCGGCGGTAAACAAGAGAGTGTGGAATTGCTTTTGAGGGAAGACCCGAGAATGAGAAAAGATACTAGTAGATGGGTGGCTGAGGGGAATGAATACCGTATTGAATAAGTCACGAATGCTACCTCACAAGGACGAGTCCAGGAACGAATTATGGTCGCCTCGTGAGTCGGCAGACGTAACCGCTCTCAAACCGAAACATTCTTCCACCCCGCACTCTCATCGCCATAAACCGACACCTTGACACAAAGAGGAAAGCAACAAGTGCAACCCAAGGAACGGTCGTCGCTCAACACTATTGCTAGCTAGCAAGTAGCAGAGGCTGCTTCAGGAGCAGCAAGCCAGGACGGCAAGAGAGAAGCCAAACCGAAATTCAAGGAGAAGGTGGAATTTGGAAAGTCAAGCCGTTGTTGGAGTTGGAGTTGTTGTTGGAGGAAAAGAGGACGAGATCAATAGCAGAGAGAAGAGTGGAGGAGAAAACAAAAAGGTGAAGCACCATGAGCTGGGTCAGTCTTTCGGGTAGCGAAGGAGGCGAATCGGAGATGCATAGTTACAAGGATGTCGCCAAACACGCCTTTGCGAGTCCCACAAATCTTGGCTCTCGACTGGGACACAGAACACCTTCAAAGGACAACATGTCCACCTCGGGAATGTCTACAAGCCGTCGGGGCCCCTCAAGAATTGGATCTCAAGACGAAGCAGAGGCTTTCCACCAAATGTTCAATTCCACAGCAGTGCAGGTAACAAAGAAGCGATCAAATTCAAAGGAACCAAAACCAAACGACTTGAGCGAGGGCCTCAAAGCCCTTGCCAACAAGGCTAGCCGTCAGTATCACGCAGACCTCAGCTCCAATGATGAATCTGGAAACAATTCCTCATCCGATGGAAAAGAGTCGTTTTCTCTTGGTTCTGTTTCGCGACGGACCAAGGACCTTGATCTGGCACACAACGACAATTCATTTCATGTCATTGGTGGCCTCATTGTGGAGTTTTTTCAATCCAAGCAAAAAGCAGGAAACAGCGATTTGCGACTGACTGCGCAAGACATCGCACAGCTTGATAGACTCGCCCCGCCCCGTGTCCGTGCAAGCTTTGTAGAGGCTGTTCGCTTCCGCTTTACAAATGCTCCAATGGAGTCTACAAGTTCTGTCCACCTCCTGGCTCGACAGTGCCATGATCTGGGGTTGGACGCTGATGGCCCTCAAAATCCACTCCTAGTTGCCGCTGGAGCTGAAATCGTCATTCCTGTTCCGGTAAGTTGGAGACAATCACTTTTGTAGTTTTGTTCAGAATCGCGTCCTAATTTTTCGCTTGTTTTCATTCTCTTCAACATTTCAACAAACAGCGACAAGACAAGACCACATCATCACGCGCTTCTGGAAGAAGCTCTGGTGATTCCGGTTCAGAGAGTGGTTCCATGTCTTCCTATCCTTCCTCGTCTTCCGGCAAAGAGCCCGAAGTAATTGGTACGCATCCGTCTTCCAGGGTTGTACCCGCTCTACCTAAAAACTCGCCACTGCTTCCCAATTTCGGTCGGCCGCCCCGTCAGCATGCCGAAGACCCTCCAGCGAAGAGTGGGGCTTCAATATCGACTCGACTGACCAAAATGGGTGTAGAAGTCCCCTACAATTCCGATGATTCTTCTGCTGATGTAAGCACCAGCCACTCACAACCTTCTTCCAGCCAAGGGGTAGGTACCGGTACAGGAGGACGACCGGACCCCAACAACACTCTCCACGATGCTGTTGGCAATTCGTTGACCAAAATGGGGATTGAAATGCCTCGGTACGGCGGAGACTCAGCCGTTTCAAGTATTGCAGCAGGCTGTGGAGCAAGCGTATCGACCGACATGAAGTCCATGGCAACTTCTCTTACTCGACTCGGTGTTGAAATTCCACTTAGAGCCATGTCGGGTGAATACACACAGTCCGACTCTGGCGCTTCCTACAATTCTGACAAACAACCAAATGGTGCAGCCAAACCAATGCATCATCAGCCACTTCGGATGCCGATGCCCGGGCCACATGGACAGGTACCAGTGTTCGCCGCAGGACAGAATGTGATGCTGTCCGGGTCGAAAACGGATGAGGACTCGTCGATCCTACCATCGGCTGGCTCTTCCAAGGAATATGCCAGCAGTGAGGGGATGGCGAAACAGCAGCTAATGGCAGAGCTCCGTGAAGCCTCTAATCTAATGGCCGAATCCAAAACGCAAGAGGCCGCAAAGTTCTGGCGAGACCATGTGCTCGAATTGGAAGCACGCCTTCGAGCTCTGACTGGTGACGAAGCTTCCTACGTGTCGGAAATGGAGAAACAAACGTTGCCGACTTTGAGAGTCATGAACGTCAATGTCAACGGTGACTCTGCGCAAGGCAGGGAGGAATTGGCTCCGACAGCAAATGGAGGACAAAACAACACAGCTGTTCCCGACGTCGCTCCTGTCGGTGTCAACAATGACCCGAACAATCAGTTTACCAACCACCCTTCAAACAGCTTCCAAGCTACCAACTCTAGCCAGAATAGTTTGGCACAAGACGCGGCGCACCATCGAATGGACATGGCGGCTGCTCGCGCCCCTCTAATGATTGATCCAAGTTTGGAGGGAGTTCCCATGGTCGACGTTGTCGCACCTGCTGACTTACCAGGTGGCTACCATTTTGAAGCAGAGATTGAGGGGCGCCGTTTCTTGGCGACCGTCCCTGCTGGGGGAGTTCAAAAAGGAGAAACATTCTCATGCTACATGCGAGATCTGGAGAAGGTTGGATCAGATATTCCCGTCGGTCGATGGAGAGATGGTCTATTCGATTGCTGTTCGATTGGTTGTTGTCACCCTGTGATTTGCAATGGTTTGTTCTGTCCCATTGGTACGTCGTGCCTTATTTCGCGAGCTCCTGTTTCAAACATATTGTTCTTGTCTCACTTATATTATATTATATTATCGTCATGCAACTGTTTCCTTCGCAACTACAGTCCTCTTGGGCCAAATAATGACGCGGGTGGGGTTCGACTTCTTGGGACGCCCCAGCCTCGACAACAGTATGAATGGTCCTGGCACCCTCTGGACAATTCTGGTCTTCTGGGTCATCATGAACCTTGCACTGTTTGCTGCTTTCAATGTCAAGTGGAGCAGGGGAATGGAGCTCTCGATGGCCGATTTGGGATCGGTTGTGGTCATCAATGTGGCATACATTCTTTTCTTGATCTACCTGACGTCGTCAACACGAGGAAGCCTTCGAGAGAAGTACTACATTCGAGAATCTCGGTTTCACGACCTGGAGGATTGCTGTTGCGCTACATTCTGTTTGCCCTGTTCAGTCTGCCAAATGGCTCGACACACTGCCGACTACAGGTACGCATCTGTTGTGTTGGTGTTGGTGTTCGTTCCCCAGTGCCTTTCTCTCACCTCTACATCATTGATTTGCCTCCCAAGCACCTACGAGGGCGTTTGCTGCAACGAAACAGGTCTTCCTGATTGCTACGCGCCTTCAAGCAGCGGCAAGTATTTAGACACTGACCCGGTGATGTCCTAAATCCTCAAACTACAAGTGATGCCCCATTTTGATGGTTTCAGAGGCAGGGCAACAAATGTGAGATATTGCGAAATTGTATAGGGCCCACAGGAAGCTCTCGCTCACAACTTCACTCACAAATCAAATCATTTATACGGTAATATTCCATCTAATGTAGATCATTCACGTACACCATTATTTGCTTAGATCGCTAGAAAACTGACTTGCGACGAGTGACGAAGCTTCCTCACTCTGAGCCACTGCACGTGCAGTAAGAGCATGAGTACTGTACCGGTAGGATGGCTGTTTGTACTGATGGTGCTTTGGTACCGGTACAGCAATGGCATAGGGGTACGGTACGGTACTAGTACCGGTACCGGTACGGTACAGTAGGCCTTCCACAATCATTGCAAAAATTGACTGAACTAAGTCGATTTTACTGAGACAGCTCACAATTGGCCAAGTCGCTAAAACACAGGCTTAATGTAACTTTTTGGTTGTTTGGCTTGACTTTTTCACCCCCCATGATGGGAATCATCAGTGCTTGGGCTTTATTGTACTTGGGATTGTGTCCGCAGGCTCCATAGATTTCGTTGCAGGAGTTGATTACCGAAAGCTTCTCTGTGGGTGGATTCAACACTGGATCGATCATTCGATTCTCTGGATCGTTTCAGGATTTCAGTCGCTTCCTACCAGTGCCGGTATGCATACCGGTACCTTACTGCATACACGTTTTACACCATTTAACTTTTAACGCAATGTTAAGCGTTTTTAAACACCGGTATTCGGTTTCTTTAACATCGTACGTTCGGCGTCTAAGTCTCAAATGTTAAAAAACCTTTTACTGTTTATTTTTAACGCAAACAAAATTCCTGGATTTAACACTGCCGTGACTTGGATTTTAACGCGACTTCGCTAAAAAATTGCGTTAAAACAACGTTTTCAAACTTAGGCATTTAACAAAACACATTCATGGATTTAACTAGAGAAATTTAATGGTTTAACAACGTTTTCGAATGCAAATTTTCGAAGGTTCAAACCAAATGAAAGGACTTGACAGAGCAGCCACAATGACAAGAGTGTCCTCCTCCGTGCGGCTTTCAAGCAATGCGTTCACATCACACCATGTGCATTCACCATGATCATCTACCAGATGAAGATAAGAAGAAAATTTGGCTTCATGTGGTGTCGGTTCGAATGATTCTGCCGCTGTTTGTTTTGGTTGCCTTGGATGGAGCGAATCTGATGCCACTCAACAGAGACCAACGATGGACACGAACCTGTTGCTTCAGCGGGCGCTGGAAGTGCTGAGGAGCATTCCAGATTGGAGTGATATCTACTTCAACACTGATGATGCTTTGGTTTCGGTTGGAATGGATGTCAACACTTCCGAATCTGAAGAGATCAAGAGACGATTGAACCGTTTGGAAAAAGGCGCATTCCAGCGGTATGGTTCGCTCAGCCATGCAAATGAATACGACGCCAACTGTGACAGAGCAGTTTATCTTGCTCAAAGAATCAAGTTTCAACCAAACTCGAAGCCAGCATCGCTTGCTTTCGTCATGCAAGTAGCTGGGTTTGCAAAAGAGCAATGTGGGCCCGGAAAATCGTACATGAAAGTGTCTCGCAAGCTCAAGGCAACGCCTCCACTGACTGATCAACGTGCTCGTCCTTTGGAAACAGATAATGCAAACAATCAACGCCCCGTTCCAGCTATTGACGTGCGTATGGGTGGGGACCAACCGGAGCCAATTATTCACCTCTTTCGGTGGCGGGCTCCTCATTCAACGATGGCTCGGCCAATCATCACACGGCGGCGATTGTTTCTATCAACAACAAAAAATATGAAATCTACAATACGCCACCACTCTTTGGCAGCCCGGAGCTCCACATTTTTGGGGACGAGAATACCATCGGATCCAAAGGAACGAAGAATATTTCGCTCAGAGATGTCCGGAAGAATAGACAAGCCTTAATCAAGAGTGATATCTCCCACCTTACATCAACGAAGGATCCCCGTTGTACCACTCACGCAGCTCAGGTTGAGAGGCAAACACAACGAGAGCTTGATAATATTCGAAAATCGATGTACAAAGCATCGACCATCTTGTACAAATCAGTTCAGATGAACGAGAATACACTTTCAATCTTCAAATCTGCAGACGCCGTGGCCCGAGCAATGAACAACCTTGTTGGCATCGACTGTGTTTCTGGGAGAGAGTTAGCTGCAGCCGTCCGCAACAACAATGTTGGAAAGTCTCCACCTCGGCTCGGACGCAAAGGCGAGATCCCAGAAGATATCTTCCGCGCCTTTTGCTCATTGGTCTTCACTGCTTGTGCCATTGAACAGTCTAATTGCCGAGATCGGTCAACACGAGAGGAACTCAAGAGTGCCGTGGGTGAAATATTGAATGCAAAACGAGCAGCTGACGGATTGGAACTCATGAGCGATTCAAAATTCTATGCCAGAATCGAAAGCGCCATTTGCCACCTACAAGACTTGAACAAGGCTGACAACAGAGAGTCGCTCCGTGTGCTGTGGTTGACTTATCAGTCGCAACTCTTGCACTACAAGAATTGGGAGAAAGAAGCAATCCGGCTTGGATTTGCTCGTCCTCTCAACGAAGGCGAGTCTATTGACGAGGCGGGCCACATCGTGTGGAAGAACGAACGCCTCTCGCATGTTCTTCAGTTTGACGAAATGAACATTGCTCTTGATGCCAACGACTCCGCCATTGGTGGAAGAGCTTCACGAGTACCCACTGCCACTCGTCTTGGGTTGAATGATGCTGGGTCTGCGACAGAGAAGTCTGCGGCGAAGATGACAGTGATGTTTGGCATTAACTTTGCAGGAGAGGCGTTGCCTCCTCTCTTGGTCTTTCCTACCCAAGCAAAGAATCCATCGAATTACAAGCTCAAAGTGGAATTCGCCAAGTGTCTCCCACAATTGAAAGCAAGATACGGGTTCGATGAACCGCGCACTCACAACGTCCCGTTTGCTATGAATCCAAAAGGAGGTATGACAAAAGACATGTTTCATGGCTACGTCGAACAAGTTGTGTTACCTCTTTATCCTGACTCCGCTGACAATCAAGATTCGTCATTGCTGATGAAGTCTGATTCTGGACCAGGACGATTCCACGCTCCAATGCTGCGATCATTGCGTGCAAGAGGAGGCCATCTTTATCCAGGTATGCCGAACGGAACTGAAATTGGCCAGGAAATGGATCAACTCTTTGCTTTCCTGAAAAAGCTTATTTATCAGAATAGAGACGCTTTGTGGAAGGCTCGTTTCCGCTTGGAGGGAGAAGCCGCTTCGTTGTCGATGGCAGATATTGCGTCTATTATTTTTGGAGGAACGGTGACCCTTGTAGATGGAAGCACCATCCAGTTACCGGATGCATTCAGTGTTGGCCTTGACAAGGAGCATATTTTGGAAGCGATGCAGAAATGTGGGTATTGCCCAAGCACTCGCGCAGCTTTGAAAGCGACTCAAATTCGGCATGAAATTATGGAGAGCGAAGAAGGAGACATCGACAATGTTGCAGATCCGTATGGAAGTTTGCTGAATGAGCTCGAAGAACAAAACATCGCGGCTGTCAGAGAGTTGGAGGCAGCTGGATACACTCTTGCCAACAGCTTGCAACGTACATGCAAACGAGTGACAGCAGCTCAAACGGCTGGCCGAAACTCAACAATCACCATCCCCAACTCACGTGAAAGACAGGACGCAATCATGAAGATATCCACCGCTGGCGGTTGGTTTCAAGTGACGAATGGTGGAGCCCCAATGACATGTGATGATGCCTTGATTGCTTATGCTCGAAAGGATATGATCAAGGAAGCCGAAGAGCTAGAGAAAAAGAAGCAGCAATGCTCAACTGGTGACGACGTGGCAATGGAAGCAGCCAAGATCCTCGAGGCCGGAAAGGATTACAAAGATTGGCTGAAGGGTGAGTTACAAGTCATGATTCAATGGAAACAAGGCCCCAATCCACTTACTCCATTTGACGACAAAGTGAAACAGAACAAGCCATTGCTTGTCAAGCTATGGGAGGAGAAATACGCAGCAATCGAGGCATCGACTGAGGATGTGTGGACGAACGACGATGAAGCAAAGCTTGCGCAACTACAGGCAGGAGAAATCAATTGCTTTTCGAAAGATGTTGGCCTTGAACGATGTATAGAGACCGAAGATGATTATCTTGTCAAGAGGCTTCTTACGATTGGTCCAAAGAGGAGACAGAAGGTCGTTGTGGGAGTACTGAATGCCATTGAGCAAGAAGAGGCAGACGATATCGTATCAAATATCTAGGTTTATTGGAATGCCAACGATAATTTTATAGCATTACGTTATTTGAGTGGCAGATTGGTTTGGCGTTCAAAGTAGCGCCATCATCTCCTGATAATCAAGCTCAGTTGTAACCACAGACGAGGCCCAGATGGGAGCCTTATACAATACCTTACCTTTGTCGACATCGGCCAGCTTTGGAACAATAACTTCGAGGCGAATTACATCGTTGTTTTGAATATCTTCCTTGCTGAAAAAAAAATCAATCCCGATAAGACGGCTCTTGGACGTCTTGCCTTTGAGAGTGGTGCACTTTGGACCCGACCAGCGAACACGCTTCGTCATTGCAACCGTCCATTCCTCTTGATGTTCGCTTGTTTTCTCCTCTACGCGTCGGAATCCTTTCACGTTCATTCGATATTTGGGAGTGCTCTCGAACTGCTCGAGCGTTACTTCGATTGCTTTCACCTCCCACTCTTCGTCTGTCGCCAAACGCCACAAAACAATTGGATATTTGTCGGGGCTTCCCATCTTGTCCATGTCGGCAACGGGCCGAAGCACCACAATCGGTTTCCAAACCATTGTTAACCACCTGCAACTACGCTAAAAGCTAGTGTAAAGATCTTTCGAGTGTTTTGAGTTTGAGAGAATGAAAGTTATGAGAGGATTAGAAAGCTATGAAAACTAATCAACGAGAGAGATCCACAATCAAAGGATCGTAGATCTGAACTCCCCGCGGGAGACTGTAGAGTGAGATGAGAGTAGGTTGCGGTAGCATCTACTCACTCCACGATCCACAAACGGAACGCGTGGAAAATTCGTCTAGCATTTAATCTAGTAGCGTGGAAGTACTCCACGCTGGCTAAATATCTAGAGCGATGTTTCATCATCAACCTAGTATGACTAGAGCGGTCATTGAGAATTCTGTCTCCAATGACTATTCACGAAGACTAGTCATGAGTGAAATCAAACCCTATCTAGATACGAGTCGCGAATAAGGCTAAAGAGCCGTGTATTGCATTCGCCCCTGACAAGGGTCGCAGGCAACGCATCGACCAGTCGGAAAAGAGAACATATGAATTAAAGTGCGGTGCACTCTCCGGAGATTGGATGTAGACATGTGGCGTCGCACGATGGCAATCCTACAAGGGGATCAGGCCTTGTATTGGTGTAAATACCTTATGTTCCAAGTCTGGTAGACTGTGCCGCATTGGCGGTAGTATGTTCGGAGCCGTACAGTGCCATTTTATTGACTCGGTCTTGTGTGGTAAGGACCTTGTGCGATGGCTGACCGTATTAACGGTTCTGACACTGATGAACTCATCATAGTGTCGTTGACATGGTGTTGATTGAGGGACACGTGCCGTGTTCTCCTTATCGGTGTTTTTCTGGATAAGTCGTTGGCGACGTTCTTAATTTATTCCAGTTTGCTTTGAAACGGATGTGGTGAGGTTGTCAGATTGACGCGCGCGAACTTGCGACGAAGTCCTTGTTCATCCCGGAGAGTCTTCTCGACCTCTCGCGGGACTCACTGTTCTCTGTCCATGACAACTACCGGTCATGGTACTGGGTAACCCACGTCTGGTTCAGAAAGATGGTTATCCGTCTGCTGTCTTGGAGCAGCCCTTGGTAGTTCATTGGTCCAATGAGTCCTACGAAGTTTAACTTCCCTGTTGGTAGGAAAGGCGATAGCTGATCGCATTTGTTATCCTTTTAGTTAAGAGTTGGCTTCCTCTCTCTGAGAATCCAATTGTCTAGATACTCCATTATTAT